AAAGCAGGCACTACTAAGCGCAGCACGCGCTTGTGATGCTGAGCAGCATTCATCAACACACCTTATACACTTATGGTGACGGTGTTTAATGGCAACTTGAAGATATTGATCCCTTGAGGTTGGCAGATAAAGATGATGTTGCAGTGTTCTGCCCGACTCCAGAAGGTTGCACATACAAGTACCTGGACGTGCTGGCAGGGCAATCCCCTGAGGCGATGACTTGAGTAGAAGCAAGGCTAGCAGTTTCTTGAAGGTTCTCGATCAAAATACGCAGAGGACAACGGAAGGAATTCGTCAGTATCACGCGGTTTTTGCCTCTTCTTACCGTAGAAATTAGTTTACCTTGCCAATCTCAATTTCGTCTGGCCTGTGGCCCAAGCATTGGAGGATGCCGAGTTCAAATCGCTAGCGACCTGACAACATTCCTTACAGTGAAGTACCGGTACTTGTGCCTGTGCCGCTACTTCAGGTTGGCTTGCCTAAATGGAATCAACGTTCAATGACTGCCTCGCTCGGAATTCTTCAGCAGCAAGCCGACTGCTAGGACCGCAGCCCCGGGCACACATACATGTATACACACGACCGTCAACGGCTGTATACAGATAGAACGGCGCGAAACTCGGTATTTCTGGACCAGCTCAGGTACAGATACTCACTCCTCGTTTGATATGTACATATAATATTGGTCCTCACACTGAACATTGAAGGTCCACGACCTAGCCAGAGCCGGATTGTCTCCGTGCCTTTGGGATGCGTGTGGGCTGACGCGTTGCGTCCGGTGCGCAGCCGATGCTGATTCGCAACCACAGCTCGAGCCGGGGACTTGGTCTTGCTTCTAGTGCAGTCAGAACGAATCATCTCGCAGCCTCGCCCCACGGCTCCAGATGCTACTGCTACGGGCAACTTCCTAGACAGTATTTGTCCCCGAGCAGGACAAGCACGAAAGCAGCAAGAACCAAACGTCCACCGCAAGCAAGCAGATGAATGCGTTATTGACTGACAGTCGTCGTCTGTCGTCGTCCGTCGAGTGGATAAGGTGCCGAAACTCGCTGCCAACTCGCCGTTTCGACGTGCGTCCCCTTCCTAGGCTGAGCCGGGTATAGCTTCAATGTACGGGGTCGCGATGTGGCGGCATCAGGGTGTCTCGGGAGGGCTTAGGCCTGTTCAGGGCTGGGCTGGGCTGAGCTGGGCTACGAGGCTCACCGTGATTTGGACTTCATTGCCGCGAAATCTCAGTCCCATTCGCCTGGCGACTCGTCCTCTTCGAGAGGAGACACGGTGGTGCTATCGATTTTCTTCCCGCACCGGTACCTGGAGCCAGTGGCGAATTCAATACATGTAGCAGTGCAGCCCACCAAAATATTGGCTACGAAATCAATTGGCTCGAGCTTTGCTATCCAATGGCAAAAGCTCTGGAGCTCATCGCTGACCATGGCCTTTGGGTTTCTCAGCTCGCGGCTGAAGGCGACATCGCTTAACGCCTTGGCTCCTGTCCGCCTGTCCGGGCCCGCGTCGTGTGCTCTTTGCAACAATGACATGGTCCCAGACGACATTGGCAAAGTACAGGCACATACTACGTGTACTCGCAGCCACTGCTGCAGGTTCCAATGTGGGTGAGATTCATTCAGAGGGCACGCATCTCTGGGTACATGTATTCTCCTTCATCATTGGATAGCCGTTGGCAGCTGGGAAGTTTGCCATGCCGCCTGAAACCACACATTAGTTCTACGGCTATCACAGACAATTCTGCCTCTCATTCGCCGTTTTGTCCACGAATATTGGTGGCTAATGTGCCGGGCTGACCACGCATCAATCAAAGAAATACAAACTGCAGCAATCCAGGTCCCATCAAAGTAAACGAGGTGATGGAATATGTTTGCCATCGGGGCCCATATGCGCAAGGGGGCAGGCAATACTCACAGTGGAGGACAAGAGACGCGGTTCAGCTCGTCCTGGGGTTCTATTGATTTGATTGCCTCAAAAGCGCCACGGGCCCGGATTGCGCCTCAGCCGAGCGGCCAATATAAATCCTTGGGAGGCTGATTCCATCGCAGCTGGGCATCAAACGCTAGTATTTGGGAACACATGTCTCAGCCGTGTCCACAGATAACGGGGTGGTGAAGGAGGGGAGCCGTCGTTCTGGACTATGGAATACGATGGACGGCACCCGCCACATTCCGCAGCAGCCTCGTAGCTACGTGTACTTCAAGTTGTTGTACGGCTTTCTCAGCCTTGATGCAATTGCTAGGTTCATAGCGCTGTAGTCTTTTGGCGACGTCAGGTTCAATGACATACTAGGTAATTAATGTATCCCATGCTCATCCGCTCCGAATAGGCACCCGAGACAGAAAGAGCGCAAATCTCTGATCAGTGTATTACTCAATTGCGTTTTGGCGTTCTCTCATATCTCTTCAGCAGCAGAAGACGTTCTAGATTCTCCATTGGAGCATACGAGATCGCAACAGCAGTCGCACAACGGACGCTGAGCCACGCGGAAACGAGGCCTTGCTTTCCTAAACGAGGCGTGTGGCGATGAAACCCGGACGATGTGTTACCGAATCAGAAGCCGTAGGACGTTGTCCAGACTCAAAGGGGTTGAAGATCGCCTCGTGGGGTCTTTTTCTAGGGAAAGCTCAACGAATTGGTACCTTGCCAACTTGGCTCACTTCGTGATGATAACCGCTGCTAATCTGTGAAGTTGCCACTGCTCTTGCGAGGACTGGAAGAAGACGAGTATGTACTGTACGAGGAACAGAGTTCTGTGGCTACGCGTAATCAACGGTGATATCCAGCCACAGCTTTTCATGATGAAGCCACATTCTATTTTTGGTTTCTCCGTCGTCCTATATATTGAGGTGTCCGCGAATTTATCGCCAGCTTGTTTGCAATAAAGGTGAATGCTTCCCATCTTCTTTTGCCGAAGCGCGAGTAGTGATCATTTATACATTTGCTTGGCGTGCATTTGCTTATCACGCTGATTTGCACCCATTCAACATTTCTTAACCTTGATGAAGCATCCTGGCACCTGCTTACCTACCTGAACGTGGCGAATATTAGACGATGAATCCCATCTTCTGGTACGAAATCCTGACGTAGAAACGCCAAGCCGAGCGACGTCCAATGCTACCTTCTTTGCACTCCGCACCTGTTCAGTTTGGCTACCTAGGTATACAGAACGAAGAGAAATGTCGTTCCATGTAAGGGATAGTGTACTGTAATCAATTAGACGGAATAGCATAAGACACATCTCGCACGGCGATGAGATTATGAACTTTCCCGGCACCAGTAGCTGTGAATCCTTGCGGGAACATGAGGCGCAGTTTGAGTGTGTGTAATCTTTCATCCTCTTTAACATGGGTTCTCTTGGCTTACCCATTTTGTCGGTATCGTGCATGAAGGCAGACTTGAGAGCTTGTTTCCGCATCCTTCAACGCACAACCAGGATGAAGTGTTTTGATCTTCTTGTCCTTCCTGTATTCGATATGTGAACAATCAGGAATCGAGATGGATGAATCACGATAGGCAGCCGTCACGTGGGCAGAATGCGACCTTAAACCTTGAGTGAGGTGCTCGACTCCATCATCGACCGCCCCGCCAGGTACAAAGTACACGAGGCCCTGATTGAGCGCCAGCCTGCACCGCCTCAGAACATATTCTAAGGCTTTGAAAGCTTTGGTTTCCCCACTACCTTAGGCACACACACACCGAGATTCTTAGCTCTACCCGCCTCTCGATAGAAGTGAGGAAAGAAGCAGCCTCAGAAACGCATAAAGCTAATGCAAATGCACATCAACGAGCTGTAAATAAGGATGCAGTCTGGCAGAGCAGGGCAGGCCTATGATCTATGTATGTAAATGTCGGTATCAAGTATGTGCATACGAGCTCTTACACGGTTGAAAGAACCTTTATCAAGCCTTCTTTTCAGCCGTCACACTTGGCCCCCTCGTGACGGCAGTAAGTGAGACTTGGCATCCCGCCAGGGTGTCTCTTCTTTCGGCTGCCTGCGTCCAGGCCCCTCGGATTTCTCTCTCTCGACTTCGGTTTGCTTCGCTCAGCCCTCGTAACGCCCTCAAAGCATAACATAAAAAACCTCACTTGACATGTAATTCATCCTTCGTCCCCGTAATTGAATCCAAAGTCGACCCCGTCTTGCTTGACGGCATCTTCGGTACTGCACGATCCCGGACAGCCCGTTCCTGACCAGCCCCGGCGGATCACCCACCCTCTTCAGCGAGTAAAGGCGTTCGTCTCACGGCGAGACAGTGACCAGCCGGGGCCCACAGGCGAGAACTAGAGGCCCTGTGACGTTGCTTAGCGGTGTTCCAATTCGTTCTTCAGGCTGCGCCTCTTGCCCCTCCCTCGCTGAGGTACGAGCTTACCGTTGCCAGGCGCAGGTACTGGGGACCCGTGGATTGCGTCACGGCGCCTTCAAGACGGGACAAAGCAAGTAACGGGAATCCATGAATATAACCATGACAGGTGGCAGCGCTGCCTTATTAGGCTGCTTCTCTTGCTCTTGTTGCTTTGTTTTACTTCCTTTTTGCCCCTTCTTCTTCTTTTGCTGCGTCTGAACGAAAACACTCATAGCTCACTGCGCATCTTATACGTACTGTGCGACAACTACCTGATCTGCTTTCTCACAAAAGTCGCAAACTCGGCGACATCCCGTGATTTGCGACTGCGACTCATTTAATTGCGACGCAGCCGCGCCAAAGAGTTGGGCGGTACCGGATATTGATTGGTCGCATCCAGGCCAACGTGGTTCCTGAGCCCTTTATCATCCATTCCTCACCTTACCTTACCTGAGAGGCCTCAAGCCGGAAAAAGTTTGATCAGGCAGCATCGCTTATCAGGATTGCGAGGAGCTGCCAAACTCGACGCTGGTGGTGGGGTTGGCTCTGTTCTTACTCTGATTTTCCATGCCTCTCGACAAGCCGACGCCTGACCTCGACCTTGCACACCCGCCCGTACCGAAGAAGAAGCACCAAAGACCGATCATGATGGACTCGTACGGAGTCCGGAGGTCGGACACCACCAAAGGGCCGCCTCTGCGCATCCTGTCGCTCGGTATGACTCTCTTACTTCTCGTGGTTCTTATGGCTACACCCGCCATCATGGCCAGCTGCTAACCATGCTCGCACTCGCACAGACGGAGGAGGCGTGCGCGGCTACTCCATGCTCATCATCATCCAGGAACTCATGCACCGCACGTTCGTCGAGATCGAAGGCCGCGCGCCCCGCCGACACGAAATCCCGAAGCCATGCGACCACTTCGACCTCATCGTCGGCACCGGCACCGGCGGGCTGATCGCCATCATGCTCGGCCGGCTGCGGCTGGACTTGGAGACGTGCAAGGAGCTGTACGTTCGCTTGACGAAAATGGTGTTTGAGACGGACAAGACGATCGCCGGCATCCCGTATCGATCCACATTGTTTAAGGCCAGCAAGTTGGAAGAGGCGATCAAGCAGGGAGTCTGGGAGCATACCGTCAACGACAAGGAAGGCAACGACAGCGAGGCCGAAGTCGTGAATCCGCTCAACTCTCGCCGCTCAGGGTCGGGATCCCCGAGGCGACATTCCAGCAACGCCAGCACTATCAGTTTCAGTGCGCGTCATACGGCCGGGCAAGTCTCATCTCGGCCAGCCCCGATGCGATACGGCAACGGGAACGCAAGGTTATACGATGCAAGGGAAAACAGGTGCAAGACGTAAGAATCAAACTGCCCACTATTATGTGAGTAAAAGCTGACCAGAGACATAGCGCCGTGACGGCAATGTATAAAGGTTCAGCACGAGGGACACCGCCCGTGCTGCTACGCTCCTACGACTCGCGCAAGGAGCCGCCGCCCGAGTTCGACTGCAAGATCTGGCAGGCCGGACGGGCGACTTGCTCCATCGGCCTCGCCTTCAAGCCCGTGCAAATTGGCCAGTCATTATTCCACGACGACGGTGCCGGCACCTTCAACCCCGCCCCAGAGGCCCTAGACGAGGCCGTCCTCAACGAATGGCCAGGACGCGATGTCGGGGTGTTTGTCAGCGTCGGGACAGGAAAGCGGCCCCGGGGAAGCGATGCGAACCAACAGGTGTGGTATGAGGGCTTCTTGGGCGAATTTGCGGAGGCACGGAGAAAGATGATTGCCAAGATTGAAGGCTGCGAGAAGATTCACGAGTACATGATCCGAGAGCATCTGGCGAAGCGTGGAGTAAATGTGGAAAACTACTTCCGGCTCAACGTCGAGGTGGGAGTCGGAGAGTTTGGAATGAACGAATGGAACCGGCTCAGCGACATCAGTACCGGTACTCGACGATACATGTCACGGATGGAAGAGCAGAAGATGATCCACGGCATCTCCACCAGGCTGGCCAAGATTCACAAGGCGAAGGTGCGGTGGGAACGGAAGATTGCCAATGTGCCCCAGCTGGTTCAGTCGACGTCGGAGAACAACTTTGAGCATACTTTTGCGGTTGAGCTACCCGGCGACTCTCCCGTGGGGCCGCTTTCGCACAGCCCGCAAAGCCCGCCCAGTCGGTCGTCGTTCGACTCTGCGCCGGACAGTCTGCATCTGCAGGCAAACACCTTGTCCTCGCCCCGAGCCTCCGGCGACCTAAGTCGGCCAGGCACCGGCCATTCGCGGTTCGGAAAAATCAGTCCATATGATGAGAAGGAGGCCGTGGTCGACTTGACATCGCCGAGCCAGTACAAGATGCAGTATTCCGACGACCCGATCGCTATCACGAGCCCTGACGAGGAGCCAAGGTATCAGCTGCCTCTGGTGCCTCCGCCCCTGGTGCCTTCCCCCCTCAGGCAATCCACTCGACCGGAGCCGCCGCCTCTGCCTCCCAAGACGCCCCTGGCCGAATACGGCCATCGGCCTCGAGACTCGGAGACGTCTATCCCGCCATACCCTATTGACGACGAAGAATGCCCGCCTCCGGTCAATATGGCACGGAAGCCGGATTACCTGCAGTATTAGTTGTGATGAGAAATGACGAAGGCGGACACTGCGGTCTTGACGCAGCCTGTATGACGACGAGGTTATGACTGTTTATTCTTTTCTTTGTCTCTCTTTGACCTCATTCTGCTTCACTGTATATATTTTTTTGTCTCTTGTTCTGAAGGCAAAGGAGAATGGGTTGGATCTTTGTTTTATGACGATTTGCTTTGATCGATACCACGGACGATGGCGGCTCAAAAATCAGTTACTCTTGAGGATTTCATGAGATATGCGGGTGTGCAAGGGCTTGGGGAAGAATACAAAAATGAGGCTTGGTTAAGAATTGAAGACCTACCCTGCCTTGGCTGCTGCAATATATATTCCAACTCTAATCAGTTGTCGGTAAAACTCCAGTAGTTTACCAGTGCAATGTACCTACTTGATACTCGTCTGCGGCAAGGGATGGAGGGCAAGACAAATCTGATGGAAATGATGTATATGAGGGCAGATTGCCGCGTCAGCAGTTCGGATACGGAGCAGTAGGTATCCGTAGTACGGCATATAGTTCCAAACGCCACCTTACTACCTGACTTGATACTCAACAATTATGTCTACGCTTCCGATAACTGAGACGATGAGCAAGTTTTTTTCAGTTATCTTGAGGTGCTTTGTAAGGGATCGTTGATTTGTAATTGCCTGGAATGGGGAGTTGCCGACCTCTTAAATGATCAGCCATGCATGATGCCGTATCGTGATTGATGGGCTGTGGCCGAGAGAACTTCTTGTTTCTGCCGTCTGCAAGGGGGAGCCAGCGAAGCTAGGTTTCAACATGGCCACAATGACCGTAATGCCGCATCGTATCTTGTAGTAATGTTCGTCGATAAAGGCGTGGGCATGCGTGCATGTAGGTAGGTCATGGGGGATGTGCTTCACGTCCTTGCATGCGTGGACGTGTGCATCTGCCAGCATCTGTACCTGGAATGACTACGGTCATGATATCAATGCAACGGTCCAAATGTGTATCCGCGGCTCGCTGCCCTGTGCGTAAATTTCTTCATCGTCTTCTTCTGCAGCTCAATGCCATCGAGGCATATGCCTGCATGTCTCCCTCTCGTCGTTGGGCGGAGGCTGAAGAAGTCTCCAGGATGCCGAAGCGCTGTGGGTGGCGAATGCCGATGGCCTCTCGGTCTGCTGTTGGTTCCCATTTTCATGCAAGAAAGACCTTGGTAGTCAATAATAAGCGCCAACACAGAGTCGCATTCATCCACAGAAACAACCGTATTGCGAACCTTTGACACGAGCAGATCTGCCCTCGATTGTTGAAACACAAGGTAGAGAGGCAAAGAGGCTCGGCGTTAACATGCGTGCCGAGATGCGGGGGACCGACAATCAAGAAATCAAAACCCCCACACGGGCGGGCAGCACTAAACAAAACGCCATGATCCCATCGTGGTGGAGTGTTATTTAGCAAAAATTAGCAGCAGATTCTAGGCCCCCGGGCAAATCGAGGCCTGGAAGGATTTGGACGAAGATGCGCGGGAGCATGTGCGGAAGGACGAGGATGATTCGATGGGAAAGGGACGAAGCTGTTGGCAGCAGCATCTCGATGCACTGCAACGCTGCGAGCAGGAAGTGTCTTTTCTTTGTTGTGCTGTAGATGTTCCTGTAAGACGAATGGATGGTGCGCATCGGTTTAGCTGGGAAGCTAAAGGGGAATGAAGAAGCGAAGCCAGAGGGGTAAAACGGCAAAGCTAGAACCTCCATCAGAATGTCTCGACATAACAACGAGCCCCTTTACATCTCTTGCTAGGCACTAGAAAAAGCACTTGCAGAAAGAAAAGGCGACATAAACTACCAACTAGTAACAAGCTGGAAACACCGCATCGTCGACAAGGAGCGGACTTTTTGGGAGATTGACAAGACACTTTCGTGCTCCAAGCGAACAAAAAATCCGCGGCCCGCCAGCCACAGCACCGGCTCTCGGGCCAGATCAGACCATCCCGCTTATTAGTCGCTGCGCCGTCTGGATCGGCTTCTGTGCCGCTTGACAGATTGTGGGATTGTGGCTCGCCGGATCGAGGTCGCTGACTCGGAAACGATACATCGCCTACATGGTACCTTGCGTGTGAGAGCTTCGGACGTCGGACTGCCGTTTGCGCGACGGATAGTCGTACCAAGGGCAGAACGAGGGCGTCAAAACTGGTAAAAATAGAAAGAAAACGAAAGACAAGACGAGACACTGAAAGGGGGGCCAAGGTCAGAGATAGAGACAGCAGAATAGACCGAGAGTGGAGGGTGAAGAAGCAAGGGGAAAGGCGGAACAATTCTCCGTTGGTTCTTGCTCTCTGGTCATGGTCATGGTCTTGTCCATGTCCTTGTCGCAATTCCGGGGACAACGAGCGAAACCGCCGAAGCCAAGGGACCCTGAAAAAAACAAGGCAAAGCGGGCGAAGAGGTTGGAGATTGAAAGGGCCTCCTGTTTCTGAATTCCCATCTCACTGGAATGCCGACGAGCTGCCAGACAATCACCTGCCGGGGCACCAAGAATCGAGATTCGGCCACGATCCGGATCCTGGCTTCCCCTACCTGTATTGGCGTTACACCCGACCTGCTTCACCCTCATCCGAGTCGCTGCGCTGCAATCGCCCGTGTCTCTGATCATCTGAGAGCGCCGAGAGAGGAGTCAAGGACAGCCTGGTCAAAGGAGAAAGTGAAAGCAAGACGCGGGACACCAGAAGAAAGACGGGGAAGAAGCTGTGCGCAAAGCACGATCTGATCCTGTGCTGTCTGGCGACAAAGATTCGCCGTCATCATCTCTTGGCTTCAATTTCGCCCCTTTTGTTCCAGCCATCAGCGCTTGCTTCACCGTCGCATTTGCTAGAGCGCAAAGTGGCCGACCTGGCGACTCTCGATTCTCGACCTTCGACCTTCGACTTCTCGTCTCTCGACTATTGTCCCTCTTTGGTCTGTGCGTGGCGAAAGGGAGAGCGACAACAGCTCCGAGGCGTGTGCATTGCATTGTCCCAGTCGCCGCTGTCGTCTCTGTGTGACCGTCATCTGTGACCTCTTGTCTCTCTTTTCCCCTTCTTCTCTTTGCTCCACCCCTCGCTGTCTGACCACGGCCGACTCACGTCTTCCTCGTCATTCCTCGCGCGGCGCATCCAGCGTTTTGCGACGCACGACTCGGCACATCGCCAGCTTCGACCTTGTTGCGCCTTTGCCGTTGGCAGGAAAAGCTTGACGACACTTCGCCTGCCGAGCCCGCTTGTTGTCGCTGTCCGTGTCCGACATCGTCACTGCAGCCCGCGACCTGCGACCTGCGACCTGCAACCTGCAATCTGCACGCTACTGGAGCCCAAGGCTCGCTTTGCAAATTCGTCCAAAACGCCCATTCACACACCCTTCGTCTGTCTGCCGACCCGATAAGGCTGGGCTGCCGAATCTCGACGAATCTGCGGCTGAGCGAAGCGGCGCGAGCCGTCGAACCATCATTCTCCGGGGTCGCTGCATCACTCACTGGCTACATACGAAGAAGAATCTCGCTGCGTCTGACCATCTGGTGTGGGAGAAGGGGGAGGGCACGCTTTTGATTAAAAAGAAAGTCGTCGTCGCTCGCTCTACTTCCTTTTTTTCCACAATCTAGTCGTCACCGCATCTCTCAGCTTCGCTTCAGGCCTTTTTGACCTTTTTTGTTTCTTCCTTTCTTTTTTCCCTACTTTTCCGCCTCTGGTTTCGCTACACCATTCGGCCGCGCCGGCGCTCAGCTTTAATGTCCGACACGATGCAGCTGCAGGGGCAGATGCCCCATCATCGTCGGTTAGCTGCAAACATGGCCGTCAAGGCCAGGGGCAATTCGTGCACCGAGTGTCGACGTCGCAAACAAAAGGTTAGTAGAGACGGTGAGCTGCTGCTTCATACGGCTTCCCTGATGCTGTTTTGGGGGGGTCTGCTTTTCGCATATCGCGGGAGCGCCAGCAGCTAGATATACATGTCATTGTCCGAACCCCCTGGCGGTTGGAGATGGCAGGGGCGGTCATCTTCCGAGCAGATGATCTCGTCATCAACCAGTGCATACGAGTAGCGAAGAATGGAGCAACTTGTATGAAAATGAAAAGAGGAGGAAAAGGAAGGCCGGAAAGACGAAGCAGAGCACTACTCAAAGGGACAATGATAACTGACTCGAGTCTCGCTTGTAGTGCGACCAAGGCCGACCGTGTAGCAACTGTGTCCGTCGATTCCCGCAGCCGACGTGCGAATACAACGCCAAACGAAACACCAAGAGGTCAGTATGATTAGTCCCATCATCTCCCACTGCATCACAGGCCTAGACGATAGAGAGACCCTCCACTTCACTGGCACCATCCCACGCTCCTCCCACTCACATGCCATCTCTCCTCTCTTTTGCGGGGGGCAGACAGGACAGGGACTTCGGAGAAAGCTTGTGGGGAGTGGCCGACTACGCCTTCAGCTCCCCCACAAAGCCGGACGTTCAACCCACTCCCCTTGTCTGCTGTCTGCAGCTTTGCCGGCAGATGCTGTGCTCTCCTCCAATCAGACTGTCTCGTATTCTGGCAATGACAGCAAAAGAAGGAAGGAAAAATGGAAAAAAAGAACAGGGAGAGAAATAGAGAGAGAAAGGAGAAGAAACACACGAGAGGTTGAAGAAAGAAAAAAAAGCGGAAGAGAGAAAACAGAAGAGAGTCAGCTTATACTTGTTGGCACTGCCTCTTGCAACACTCTGATGCACGCGCATTTACTGTACACGATCGATAGCTCACGATAAGCTGACACGATTGCCAAACTCATCACAGGCCCACGACTGCTGGTTCTCCAGGCAGCAGCTCCAAGAATGTCAAGGTCGTGCTCGAGGGCGCCTACGCCCATCTCAACCTGTCCGACATCCAGGATGCCATTCTTCAGGTCGAGGGCGTCGTCGCTGCCAGCGGCATGGCGGACCGCCCCTCCGCTACACCGGTAGTTGCTCACGGCGAGATGATCTCCCTGGCTCAACCAGACGACCAGGATGGCTCCTCGCACAGCTCATCTGAGCCCTTCCGCGTCGTAGTCACTGACGAAACGGGCACCCTGAAGCCCAAGTCCGTCTTTGCCATGCTGCGCCTAATTCTGCAGGCCCGCCTCAAGGTTACTAATCGCATCGTCAATGACGAATGGAGCATCGATGGCCCTCAACTCATGCGTGCCTTGCAACAGGCTGCTCAACCGCCTGCCATGTTAGGTGGCCTGGATGATCAACTGCGGAACCTGCCCATGGAGCCAACCAGGTTGAACATCGAGCTGGTCCGAATACGTACGTGACAAGTTCTCTCCCCCGTTCTTCCCCTCTCTATTTCCTATTGCCGTAGGCCTTTACGCGCACATGCACGTATCCATCAACGTCTTTGATCCACGGTTTGGGCGGTGCAGGGACTCGTATTCGCTCTAGTGCTCGCTGCATTTTCAAAGAAGCGTGGAGGGCATTGCCCGACTTGGAGTCGCACAGGGGAAGGAACAAGGTGATGACGAGAATCGGGTACTGATATGAACTCTTCTTCTCAGATCTCCAGCTCTTGTCTCGGTTCAAGGCCTCCATAGACGGAAATCCCGACCCTGAGAGCCGATTCATGAAACACTGGGTTCCGCTATCCATCAAGGACCCCCTACTGCTCCAGATCGTACTCTATACGGCTGTATGTTTCCTCAAGGAGACGGGCCGAGTGCCCAAGATGCTCGTCTACGCCTACAAGGGCGTGGTCCACCGCATGCTTAACGAGCATCTTAGCTCTAGCAGGACGCAGACAGGCGATGCCGCTATTATGGGAGCCGCTCAGATGGTCATGGACTCGTGGTACTGGGGCACCACCGAAGAGCTACGCGCCCACATGGCGGGCCTAAAGACCATGATTCGAATGAGGGGCGGTCTTCAAGACCTGGGGATGGGCGGTTTCTTGGCCAAGACGGTGCTCATGTAAGTTCCTGCTACGATTATGCCTGCAGTGATATCACTCTTCCCGTGTTGTCCGCCTGCCCCCCTTTTGCTTCGGAACTTATAGCCTGTCATGGTGATGCTGCATGTGTAAACCAACGCGCAGTATCATTATGTCTGGAACCAACCCAGCTCCATTGCTACGTAGCCACCGAGCTCGCCTTTTTGGCTCTAGTCTGCTAACAGTTCAATTTCGGCTAGTCACGACATTGCCATTGCTATTGCTCATGACATTGAGCCCGACATTTACGGGCAGCCCGGGTTTGATTTTCGTGATGATTTCATGGTGCCCTACCAGACCTCCTTTAATTCCCCATTCCTATCTGGGTGGCCACGCTTTGTCGACCCGGGTTCAGCGTTGAAGCTACATCGAAGCTCCGCCCAGATCCTAGACGATGTAAGACTCGTGATTCGGACGGTACAAGACCTGCCTCCGTCTCCAAGCGAGCAGGACTTGCAGAATGTGACGGAGACGGCTCTGTGGGCGCTAAGCAGGCTAGATGCGATGCCGGAGAACATTCCAATGTACGAGGAGGACGAGGAGACGGGGCGGCCTGCCGACGAAGGTGATGACTGCATGTGGGAGACGACAGGTTACGAGGGGGCGGGAACTTCCCCGGCAAGCAGCTCCGACTACGATTCGCCGAGGAGCCACGATGCCCCGTCTTCTAGTAACGGTTCGCCACCTGCGGACGAAACCGCCAGTGCCCGGCTGGCCAGGACGAAGAACGACGCCATGTACCGGTGCATCCGCGTGACGGCTTCGGTCTACTACCGTGCCATCGTAGCCCGAGTGCCCACTACGGAGATATTATCAGAGGCCGATTTCTTGAAGCTGTGGGAGCTGGTGTGGGAGGTGACGGTACCATTTTGGAAGACGGCAGTTGGCGTATTCATCTGGGTCATGGCGGCAGCCGTGCCAAGCTGTCACAACGCGCCCCCTGCACGGTTCATCAAGACCCTGTCTGTGGTTGGCTGGATGACCATCGGGCTGGAGAACTGGCACGTCGCAATCAATGCGGCGAATGCGGCCCTGGGACTGCAGCGCTGGCTCCGGGGCGGGTATTACCAGCAGGGCGGTATGATGTACGACAAGGGGCCGCTGGGGGGAGAGGTTGTGGTGGAGAAGCACGGGTTCATCCTGCGGGAGGCGAGCATTCCGGAGGTGGTCGCCAATGTGCGGTGCAACGACGACCACGAGCTGATTGAACCACGAGCTGATTGAGTGATGGGGCCCGGCATTGCTCTCGCGTGGGCCGATTCAGGGTGTGGGGTCTCTGGGATGTCACAACACAGCGATACTACACCGATTGGCAATTATACTGAGAAGAGAGGGAAAGGAAGGCCCAGGGTGCCTTGAGCAGAGAATTGGCACTCTGAAATGCATACGCCTAGACTTGCACAGTCTCTGCGGAGGTCATTCAGTCTTCTTGGCTTGCGGCTGCTTCCGCCAAGTTCACAAGACGAACACGGCATGGCATGACGGTATGCGATGTCTATCCGATTTGGACAGATTCAATACGTTATCGGTATGCTTAGCCAGCGTTTGTACAATGGCTGGGCGTATCGAAGAAGGGGAGGGATATGCTGCAGCACGGCACGGAGCGGCCCGGCTCGCAGGGCAGAACGAGATTGGAGAGTGATGAGTATTTCACATCATGTGGCGAACCGACTTCCCTTTTGGCGGTGTTTGGGCTGTTTTTTCGTTGATTTTCATTCTTCTTCTCTATCGCCTGTTGGTACTGATATGGATGAGGGAGAATGTTTTGGATACCCTCGTCAAGGTTTTGCATCTGCGGTTTTAAAAAGGGATGTGTAGCTGGTGGTTACTGGTGGAGCAAAGGGCAAAAGATTGGAGATTTGGCGAATTGAATGGGTGTTCTTGTTGCTGTTATTATTCACGTGGTCTACTTGATGTTGCTGAGATGGGCTAAGGGGTCGTGGTGTTATTTCGACTGTTAAGCAGCTCGCTAGTTGTGCGTTCGATTCGCCCATTACTCCCTGAACTCTACCCTACATCCATCTAATGCAACAACGAGATCATCTAACGGGATGGACCTAATTGTGTGAAAATGTGCCAAAGGACATGCGACTGGATCAGTCGTAATCATTTCATCGACTATATACGAAGAGATTTGATTCAATCTTCAACAGAATAATACACCGGTATAGCTTCATTTTACAACCCAGACCACCAATACGTCTCCTCCACCGTAAACTTCCCCTTTAGCGCCGCGCCCTCCTTGGCAACACTGCTATCGCTAACAATGATCTCGTACTCGCCCTTTTCAACACACCACTGGTCCCGCTCCTCGTCGAAATACGCGGCGACGTACTTCTCCTGCTCCTGAATCGTCACGGTCTTCGTCTCGCCAGGCTGCAGCTCGACCTTTGCGAAGCCCTTGAGCTCCTTGACGGGGCGGTTGATCTTGGCCGCTTGGAGGGGCTTGACGTAGAGCTGGGTGACCTGTGCGCCAGGGACGGAGCCGGTATTTTTCACGGAGAGGGACACGCTCAGCTTTCCATCATTGTGAGACACGGAGAGATTGGAGAAGGCGAAAGTGGTGTAGGACAGGCCGTGGCCGAAGGGGAAGTTGACGTCCTTGTCGGCAAACTCGTAGTACCTGTACCCGACGTAAACATCCTCGCCGTAGAGCGTGCGGCCGGCCTCGGTGCGGAAGTTGAGAAACGCGGGGTTGTCCTGCAGGCGCTTGGGGAAGCTGAGGGACAGCTTGCCCGAGGGGTTGTAGTCGCCAAAGACGACGTCGGCGATGGAATTGCCCGTCTCGTTGCCGCCATACCAGGCCTGGATGACGGCGGGTGTGGCGTCGAGCCAGGGCATCTCCTCGGGGGTGCCCGTCTGCATGACGACGACGGTGTGGGGGTTCGCGGCCGCCACCTCGGCGATGAGCTGGTCCAGCACGCCGGGGAGCTTCATGCTCGCGCGGTCGGCGCCCTCGGTCTCCCAGTCAGCGTTGAGGCCCGCACAGATGATGACCTGGTCGTGCTCCTTGGCGAGGGCGACAGATTTCTTGATCTCGGCCTGGTCGTCAATGACCTTGCAGCCGCCGACGCGAAGGGAGCCATGGCCGGGAACGATGGTGTCGCCCTTGAGGGTGTAGGTGGGCGCGGAGCCGAACTCGATCTTGAACTTGTACGTCTTACCCTTGACGAGCTTGACGCGGCCCGTCTCTTCGCGGGTGGCAGAGCCAAAGAAGGCGTCGCCGGGGACCTGTTTGGTGGCGTTGTCGACGACGAGCTGGTCGTCCACGTAGGCCTTTGCCGTGCCGCAGACGACGAGGCCGAGCTCGTACGTGCAATCCTCGTCGGCCGTGTACGTGCCCTCCATGTCGGCGTACCATGTGTCGGCCGCCTTGGGGTGGTAGTAGTCCACCAGGTGCATTTCCGTCTTGGTGAAGAAGAGCTCGTCGATGTGCTCGCGGCCGGGGGTGCCTGGGGGCTGGTTGAAGACCCTCCAGCGCATGCCCTGGCCGCCGCCGTCGGGTGTGAGGCACTGCTCGCCCAGAATAGGGAGGAAGCGGTGGGTGTAGGCGCCGACGGTGTATGACGGCGGCGTCGAGAGCTGCTTGCTGAGGCCGTCAAAGGGGGTGACTGCGTAGTAGGCCCGAAGAGCAGCAGAGCCTCCGCCGTGGTAGGTGGCCTGCTTGGCGTTGGGACCGATGATCAACGTCTTCTTGCTCTTGCTCAGGGGCAGGACGTTGTTGTCGTTCTTGAGCAGCACGATGCCTTCGTTACCAATCTTTCGGAGGAGGGCCGTCGTCTCAGGGGTGTTGTTGACTGTCGTCTCGGGGCCGTTCTCCGTCACCCCGGAAGCAGCGCACTTCTTCACAAACTTCAGAACCTCCCTGGCCCGCTGGTCAATGACGTGGACAAAGGGCTTTCCGTTAGAGACGTTGAATTTGAGTGTTTCCCCTCGGAAGCGTGGAGGTCCGGGCATCTCGATGTCGAGGCCCGCCACGGCGGCAGCGGTGGTGCTGTATGTTCCGTACCAGTCGCTCATGACCAGGCCATCCCAGCCCCATTCCTTTCGAAGCATCCCATCGAGGTATTTCGGGTTTTCGCTGCACGGCACGCCGTTGATGCCATTGTACGCCGTCATAAACGCACCCGGCTGGGAGTCTCGCACAGCAAGCTGGAATGGAAGCGCGTAGATCTCACGGAGAGCCCGCTCCGTGACGATGCTCTGCACCGTCATGCGCCTGTCCTCTTGATCATTGCACAGGAAGTGCTTGATGGTGGCCTGCACTCCGGTGCTCTGAATACCGCGAATGAGAGCCGCCGCTCCCAAGCCTGCCAGGAACGGATCTTCGCCTATCGACTCGAAGCCACGTCCGCCGAGAGGGGAGCGTTGCATGTTGATAGTCGGGCCGAGGATCACATGCGCACTCTTGGCGATGGCCTCTTTGCCCATCATTTTACCTGCCTCTTCGAGCAGCGTCTGGTTGAATGTGGAACCGAGCGACGTGCCGCAAGGGAAGCAGGCTGCAGGGACGCCATTGAAGAACTTGGTTCCTCTTACGCCGTTGGGGCCGTCTGTGAAGCGGAGGGAGGGGACTCCATGCTTGGGGAGAGCCTTTGTGTGCCAGAAGTCGATGCCTTGTTCAGTCAGTCAATGACTATGGAAGAAGAGGCCAAATGCTAGCCATTGTTGTTGTAGGTATGAAAGCATAGTAGGAATGCAAATCGTTGATGGCATTGTAAAACTCACCTGCCAGCAGGTCGACTTTCTCGGCCAGGGTGAGCTGTTTCAAGACGGCTTCAACATCGATATCAGCCATGTTGGAGACGAAAGATGAGTGATTTGATAGTGTCGGATAAATGAAGCTCCAAATGAGGGGATCTCTGGGTACAGAGCAGTACTCCGCTATATATCACGACGCTGATGTTCAGGCAGGATATCTAAAGTTCAAGATTATTGCAGGGTAGAGCTTGAGCATATCAGAGCACCAAAAGGGGACCCGAGAGACGGAACCAGTGTCACCAAAGCACTGGGAAGAGATAGAGGTGAGGGAGATGAAGACGAAGAGGTCAACGACAGAGAGACATCAGGCACAGTAACAGGACAAGCAACTTATATAGCCGTCGGTCAGATAGCAATGATGCGTGTGGGCTCTTCTCTCCATGTTGGCCATGGGTAATCGCGAGAACTTCGGAAGTCAACATTCAGCAAATGAACAGAGAGCACAGCTTCTCTCCTCACTCACGGGCTTTTACTCTCCTCTTGGCAGCTACTTTCTCGAACCAAGGAGCTGCAGGATTCTCCGAAAGCTGCGCCCTCTGCGGAAGACATCAATCACGAGGAACAAGTCGACTCCAGATTGGACGAGTTTCCCCGCGATCATCCCCGCCATTAGATCCAAGCGAGGGAGGCACAGCCGTGGTTTATCCGGCATTGAACCAATTTTCCAGAGTTCTGCCGCGATTAAGGCTAAAATCTGACCAATCGGCCTCGTTCTCATTCAAACAGCCCGCCGAAATAATTGGAGCCAATCGGGGTCCAACTCCATCGAAGCACCAAACCTAGAGCTTCGGCCTTTGTTGGCTTCGGTGAGTTATGAGCGACACTCCGCGACGGCCCCCGAAGCCGCTCGAGGTCATGTGGGCGGTTTCCATCGCCTGTCGTTCAGATAAGAGCAGTCTGGTCCCGTTTCCTGGGCGGATACGCGCCGTATCGAACGTCAAAAGCGGACAGATCTCGTCCACCAGACTCCACCATCAGATTCCGATGAAGAACGACGACGATCTCGGTGGAGCTGCGTCCCGGCTTTCGGGACCCTTTTGTGTGCTTCCACCCGGGAGCCGGTGGGAGCCGGTGGGAGCTTGTCGCGATGGGGAAGTCGTGCGATGATTGTGGTGGGTGTTGATGAAGCTGATACGTGGAAGCGACACAGCCGTTGGCGTTGTCTCTCTGGGTCGACCCGTCGAGCTCCGGGCTGCTGGACATCTACAGCGGCTTTCCGCGAACGCAGACCACTCCCCGCTGTCAGGCCTTTCATTGTCTCAACCTGATACCTATCTATGAATACACACGGCTGCTACATACTGCTAACGGCATAAACATCGCGACTGAATCCGGCCGCAGTGATTTCACTGTCACCGACATGCATCCCCGTGGTTACAGCCTGCGGCATGTCTGGGTACCAATGCTTCGTCCGTCGCACGGCAGCGATACTTGCACCCCCCATTGGAGCTCGGCATCCAGCTCCTCGAGGCCATGCTCGGTACGTCGGCAGCTCTGCGTCTGGGCATCTGTCGACGAGTCCGCCTGTGCCACGCGTGTGCGCCGCTTACGGGCAGCATACAGGTGCCTGGCAAGCTATGCAGCCGGGAGGCGTGGTCGATGTCTGCGCAGTCAGATGAGTATGAGTATCGCATCATCCTGGCCCAGCCAAAGCTGCTTGTAACCACCTAGCACCGGTGCCATATGTGTCTTACGTGCAGCTGTGCTTTAGCGACGGGTATCGACCTGGGTCGCATCCTGACCATGTCCCGCATGCATTGGCACTCTTTCTCCTCTCGGTCGACGATGGCGGTGATTCGCGCTCTAGTGGTCAGCTGTGCAGGACGTGTCTGCTCGGTGGCGCGTCGTGGCGTTCCCGATCTGGGTATTCGTCAAGACGACGCCCTGCCCATGTCCCTGGCCTCAACGTCTCCTGGCACCGCGCCATAGGCTCTGGGAGAGATATTCTGGCATCTATCACAATGATTGTCAGCTCCACGCTTTGTCAGTCAAGGAACACGCGTAATCTGGGGTTGACGGAAAGCCTGCATGGCTAGCGGGACTATCGTCGACGGCAGAAGCAGGGGCTTGCGGGGAGGATGCCGGTAAGGCTGGGCGATGTGTGATCTTACGTGTGATCCTGGGGATCCCGCCAAATCCTACCTTGGTCTCCTCTTCAGGGGACCAGTCTGCCGGAAGTCATCCGTGGCTCAAATCGACAATTCGTCCACCCCAAGCCTCTTCTCTGCTGGTCCTGTGCGGCTGAACGGCAGCACCAATGGCGTTTCGGCAGGGGGACGCCTTGAGCGCCGCGGCTGTCTGCTGCTCATTGGGGCAATTGTTACGATCAAAAGGTGGTGTTCGCTTGGTCGTCGTCAAACCGCGCTTGCTGCAAATCTTTTGCACGATTGCTGATGCTGAAGCAGAGCAGAGCCTGCCAAGCGGGCAAGGCAGTGAAGGGGACAGCAGGGCAGGGCACCCGAGCATTGGGCCAGGCTTCTGCTGACTTATTGTACTACTATCCGCTTCCTTGGACACCAAGGGTTATCATCATCATTCATTACTCGTCCTACGATTTGCGTGGGGTCGGCACTGATCCGAGACCCGGACTCTGCGATGCGATCCAATCCACTGCGGATGCCGAAGAAGGGATCCTTGGGGCGCCTGATTGCCTGCCTTAGTATCTGCATATTCAATCAAACGGCGTTGTTCACAGAGTCTGATGGCACCGCGAGTGATTTGGCGACTATACAACACCACTCACCCCCTTGACGAATACAGTTACATTCTCACAGAATGAGAAACAGCAGATGTATTCCGGGCTAATTTTATCTTCAAGGTCAGTGTCCTCGTCATGAACAAGGGTTATCGAGACCACTCCGTCAATTTGGTGTAATGTAGACAGTCCGAATAATGCTGCGATTTGGTGGCTGATAGGAGTAGCGTATACCCCGAGTGCCGACGTCTCGGTCTTCTTCGCATCTTATGGCGATTCCCGTCTCGTCGTTGCGACATGCGGAGAACCTGGTCTTTCCGCATCCCTACCTGTTACGAATACTACAGTGCTTCGTACACCATACGGAGTACATGCATGCCTCAACTGCACCTTCAAGGCGTCAACATTTGCGGGCCTGCTATGAAGCAACCGATGATGAAAAGCGCACGTATCGGCTGGATAACGCGGCGCGAAGCCGGGCGGTTGAGACGCCTCCTCCAGGCAGAAGCATAAAAGATGCCAGCCCCAGGTTGGTGTGGACAGGGTGCGCCGCTTGAGGCTATCTGGGCAGGTATTGCTGGGATTTGACGTGGTATCGTGTGGGGACCAACGCCTAGTGATGCTACCCAACGTCTCAAGCTCCCTTGACACCTTGCATCACCGCTGCTATCGCCTTGTCGATGAGGCCCTATTGCCGGATTGGCGCCTCCGGAGCCTTTGTGAGAAGTCATGGCAACACATCATAGGCGCGATTCCCGCCCCGGACCGTTCTGGGCTAGCCGTCGTTGATCGACGAGACGAGCCCCTGAACCGCCTGGCACTAGAAAGTCTAGGTTCTGATGGCTTCATCCCACCATTTGGTCGACACCGATAGCCTGCAGAGACGGACGGACGGCACTAGAAGAGACCGATGTTACGCTTGGCAGAAGCCCCCTTTCTCCATTGGATCGTCGAACCTCTCCACACCTTGTTGGTCTGGCCCTCAACTGCCGACGCATCACGCCGTTGCTTGGAAGCATCACAGTTGGCACAGTACAAGTACACAGTACAGAAGTGTCAAAAAGATGCAGATTGATTGCGCAAGGGAAGCTTGTATAGCTGGATGAGTCCAGGTCGAGATGCGGCGGCCCAAGGAAATCGCTCGATCGCATCGCCTGACTCGACTCCGTTTACTGCTCGTAAGGGGACAAGGCCAAATCACTGGCCCCCCGAAAGTCACTCGCCCATCAGACTATCTGTCTTCTTCGGCCCTCTCCTCTTCGTGATGGTTGTTTGGGGGTGTACATACGAACAAGCCATTGGAGGGGCTTCGAGTTGCTGGTCTTCGAGTCTCACGATGCGGCTTTTAGTGGACTCGTCAACCTCATGTTGATTGCAAGTGCGATACGGTCGCTTTGTATGGAGCAACGCATGAGGTGGAGGGGCTACCTGGAAGTTTACAGCCGACATGGCTGGGCACTCTGGTTCTGGACGCAGGTGCCCCGGTATGCAGTTCAGTGGTCTGCTTTCTTCCGCTGATGAGCATCCGCAACCTGCAGACTAAGGCACTTGTACGGAGTCGGTGAGTGGGTTCTGATGGAGTCGCATCACTTCAGCTTTCAGCCGTCTCTTACCCAGTCGAAAGTCTCGCCAAAGCCTCTCTCATTGCTATGTATATGCGATTAGAGCGGCGAAGGAGGACAGCTGTGAACAGTCGTGTTCAACACTATCTGCCTGCCACGGTGTTATCCCCCTTCCCACTCCGCCCTCTCTCACTTCACTTTTCTATTTCTCGACATACTAGTATTTCTATGCCATCATCGACACCAGGCCAGAGGCCGACTGACAGGGTTCCCTCGTGGGGATTTCTTCAGCAAGGGGAGGGGACTTCCAACGCTTGTCCAAGTGCTAGCGCCGTTCCGTTGGTCTGTATGGAGCATGTCGTACCCATACAAGACGCCAGACGTTGGTTCAACGTGAGATTATCACACCCCTCCCCCCCTTGCCTCCCGGTGGGGCCGGGAGGGCAGCAAAAAGAAGGAAAAGAAAGCTTCGATTGGCCTTCTAGCGCGCTTCTCCCGCCCTTCCCCCTTGGTCCGCCACCGAAACGGCTCGGTCAACCTCGGCCAATTTCTTCACGCTTGATACTCGCTATTTCGCTGGCCCGCTGCGTTTTACCCACCGCGTTTTACCCACCGCATGATGGACGGCTGCCCAACCAGCGCCCGGGACGATTGTGTGGGCTCTGCTATTTTCAGCCCTTTTAGAGGGGGCTTGAGGGAACCTGAGCCGGTTTGAGGGCGTGTCTTTTGCTCTGTTGCTGGGTTCCAGGTTGCTGCATGCAGTAGCGGGTTTTGCTCAGCTCTCTAGACCGGGAGTCCTGGTGCTTTCCGGGTGGGCTTTGACTTGTTTCTTGGGAGGGCATTGTTTAAGCAAACGAAGACGATGAGCTCAAAAGGAGAGAAAAGCAGAGGCGCGAGGACTTCCGCTGAAGGGAATACCCTACGCCCCTCCATCCCAGGAATGACAAGACGGTCAACGTTGGGTCGTTTGGCCAGTTCGTTATGTCTGTCACATACTTGATGTCAACTCTATACCGCCGTTTACCTCCGTCGTTTCTACTTCACCACTTTTTGTCTCTTTGGAGAATTGCTAACAAAGCTTGTTTATCAATAGCCTACTGGTCGCTTTCTTCCATTGCTTCTTGTCCAATCGCCAGGAGGCCGCCAGGAAAGGCTTGTTTGAGCAATTACTTCACCACCTCAACTTGGGACCCACGTCCTGCAATCTGTACGCCGCAGCCTGCGGAATCAATTCAGTCGCCCGTCTGAAAAGCACATAGAACTCGGAATCAATTCGGCATTGACACCAGGAGCCCTTGCCCTGGCTCAAACGCTATGCTGCAGATGTCCAACGTCCCGTGCCTGATGATCCCGCTGCACCGGGCATCGCCTCTGGGATACTGCATCGCCTGGTCCGTTTTGCGCTGACGAGCAACGGCTTGCATAAACGACCAAGATTAGCCTCGATTGACAGCTGGCTTCGAGAACATGGCACCATTTAGCCTAAGGTAGTTGGCAGATGCTTACCAAAGTGCGGTCTGTGAAGCCCGTGGTTACTCATCGGTTTCGACCGCCTCGTCGCATACTGATCTTGTGTCTCCCCCGTCCATCTCTATCGGGGCGACTTGGTTTGATACGGCGGCGTTGAGTCTATATTGAGCAGATCACCGACCCGCTCGAAACTGGAACGCGTTCCCTAACGGCCGCTCCCCCGGCCGGTTCGAAATGGCTACGCTGTTTTACTTGCTATCATCCTGGACCCAATCGGTTACACCTGCACTAACAGCGACGATTCTCTTCGTCCAAAGGGTTAGGTTCTCAACCTGATAATCTCGGGGAACTCTGTGGGTTCATGTTCATAGACGCGCCTGACATAATATCCGAGCGGACTTGGCTGGAATACCCCAGACACGAAAGCATTGACCGCTTCGGAACTACTGATTGAGCTGGTTAAGGCCGACCGCGGTGCGGCCGATGGGAGCAGAGGGAGGAGGGTGTTAATCACCATACCAGCGGATCGGGGCAGCCGCTGGTTAGCATAAGGTACAGTTGCGTCTCTGCGTCAACCTACTGCATGATTATGTGCGAAGATTATTTCCGAAGCAATGGCCGCTGAGGAAGACCTGCGAGGTCCAGTATTGACCCTTGTTCTTGGAGTTGAGTGAATCCAGGAACCGATATCAGAGCCGCTAGCGTTACTACCCAAAGGCCGGCCCTTGTCTCTTCGCATCACCGCTATCATCGGTACGGCGTTTCCTTTGGCAAGGATCGTTTATATTCACTGTATGCACTCTAGGCGTTTCTTTGCCTACGTGAATAGCTTCTTCGAGGAAAGTGAGACGATGCTCGTCTTACGTGGCTCATCTGTTAGACGATCAATCGCTATTTCCAGCACTCGTACAGCTCGAAGCCATCTCCGCCCTTTGCCTCTCCCTCCCCCTTCCCCGGCTGCAAGACTACCTGCAGTAGTCGCCCGGAGAAAAGGTCCGGCTCCATCTATTTGGGGGATCGCCCAGACCACATGCCGCAGTGGCTAATGCATGTTGATGGCAGCTCGTCTAGGCGTCGACGGAAGCTTTTCCGCTGGCATTCAGCTGAGACCGTCCTACTGACGTGCGGTCTCAGGTCGTCCAGCACTCGCCCCCCTCTGCAGGTCTCAATTGAAGCCGCAGAGGGTAAAAGAGGGAGCACGAGAGTATCTCGCTTTGTTTACTTCATTCGCTCGAAGAGAAAATTGGGGACCGTACGAGATATTTACGGGCAACTCGTATGGGCATCAATAGTTGCTGCAACGCTTCCTTGATGCACCCCCTCTCAACGCCCCTCTTCTCTCTTGTTGACAACTCCACTTTCTCTCTCTCTGCAGGTCTATCCGTCACTCAACATATCCGCACGGATATCCTCTTGAATACGTATATACAAACCTCCCATACAGACACATACACGTGTATGCAAGCAGGCTTGTCGCCGTACCCCTAATCTCTGCGCTCTTCTGTCCCCAAATTGCAGGGAGACCAATGCCAAGAACCGAAACTTGCATTGGCACGTACTCCGTACCTTGTTGACCTGTATTTGCCTCTCCCCAAGTGAGGCTGAAGCTGAAAGAGCTCCGAAACCCACAGCTAATCAAATCGAACACTCGCCTGCGCTTTTCTCGGCTCTACATACACGCACTTCCTTCGGCGGCTCAGCGATTTTATCCCCCCCCTCGATAGCTCATAGCACTACTACTAAGACCCTGATCTGCATTGTTCTCCATCCGAGACGCTCTTTTCCCCCGAGTTCCGCTGTCCTGCTCGCGAAACCCACTGCCTACCCAGGCTTGAAGCACGGCGGTTGCCCATCGTTGCTGACTACTTCGGTGTGGTCGAGATAAGCATTTCCCACGCCCCAACAACCAACAAATGCAAGGACTTGGCCAACATCGTGCAAGGTAGCTAGACTCTCATGAAGTATCCCTTTCCCACCCTCACCTCCACTCTTCCCCCTCCTGTCGAAACTGGGACAACACGCGCCAATATGCAAGCCTGAATGGAAACGGCATGGGCTCGCACCAGGATGGCCTCTAGACAAACCCGCGCTTGAAGCCCCCTAATCGAGCTACGACTACGGAGCACTGACCTGTTTGCCTGTCTACGAACTACCACGATGTACCTGCCTGCTCTTTTCAGCAGTTCACTAAATAAAGCAGAACACCCCCCACAGAATGCTAGTCCAAGCCCATAGTCTTGCTCCTAGCCGGTCTAAATCGACAGAACCGAGACAGCAGATAGCTTGCTTTTCCGTCGTCGTTCCATGTTCTGCTTCTCTCCTGTAATTTTGTACTCCCGGTTCCCCGGTCTAAACGTTGAGACTAATGAAGAGGCGTCGCGCTGGTGAAAGAGTTAGAAAGGAACCGGCACTTTGGGTCTTGTCTTCCGGTCCATCACACCATGTGGCAAGCTTTCGTGCGGATCAAGCTAGACGAAGCCTTAGTTCTGTGTAGCCTCGAGTAGTCGTGGCTGGTTTTGGCCTGGTAGCCAATACCAAGAGGAGACGATGCGCTGCAATGAGAGGCGGTGGATGCATTGCACGTTGAGTTCCCATGAGATCTGCGGCTTTCAGCCGCAGTCCCCCACGTTTTCGACATTCGACAAGCGTAAAATGGTAAGAACAAGACAGTCTAGCTTGGGGTGCGGAAAGGAGCAGTTCGTGTTGAGCAGTGTCTATTTTTCGTGAGTCTCGTAGTTCCTCTATAGAGAAGTGGTCTAAAATATCCGTACAAAAGCAAGTCTATATAGTAAACAAATACATAAAGAAAGAGAAATAAACAGGAAAGCAGATACAGCTGACGAAATTCGTAACAAAGGCATTGACCAGGAGGAGAGGTTTTTATAACAAAGTAGAAGAAGATGCAAAGATTGCCAAAGAAAGATATCCAAACAGTATAATCCGTCTAACAGTTCTGTCCGCTCGCCGGCCCGAGTAAACCTCCCTCATGGTATCTCCCAAGATATAACCAACAGAACGAGTGGAAAGAAAATGGAAGCAAAAAGACAAAAGTAAAATAAACAAAAAATGACAAAGCAAAAACCAGCGTTCCATCTTGAGCTGCCAAATCGCTGATGCATCGTCTTGTTGTCCGTCCCGTTGCTGTTCGTGCGCCCAAGGTTGAAATGCATATGCGAGACCCAAACGCCGAAGATTGTTTCAAAGTGTCCGTATTTTCAGGCCAGAACCTGAGCACCTCTTCCGTAATTCGTAAAGCAGACATCGCAGCTGTCGATTGCCCTGCTCGTTGCCTCTCCTTCGTCCACCGTCACCGCTTAAATTCGCTTCAGCCCTTGCTGAGCTGGCTGCGTTGATCCAGGCCAAACCAGCTCATCCTGCTCGACTATCCCTCCTTCTCATTGATGCCACGTAAAAGAAACCAGCTCCACCAGGCCCTGTTGGTCTTGTCCAACGCAACCCTGCTTCGTGGCTGTTCACTGCGACAAAGTGCTGGATTTTTGGTCTGCGTGTCCACTGATGTGATGCAGTCAAAAGCCGAGCTTCGGTCGCCATTTGTCCAATATTGTATCCCACCCCCCTTTCCAGGTTCACGCTGATTGGCCGTCGCTTCCAAATTGTACCTCGGTAAGCATGCAGACAGGTAACGGGGGGTTCGCTGCGGATTTGTATTCGCCGTCCAGTACAGGTCGTCCGCTGGGGAGGCTATTGTGGCCAATTTTCCATGAGTTTCGGTCATCTCAAGATTGGGCTTTCGGATGCGTCGGTGCTGATTCATCGAGGGATACCGGGGTTGGCGTGGCCCTCAGCCATCTCTGGAGGGTAGTATAAAGAATACGCGGCATTCCATTGCGGGTTGCGGTGTTGCAGCGGCGTGTGAGGCGAGGCGCTGTGCGCAGCGTGAGGTGGTGGTTGCTGCTGGTGCTGCTGGGCATACGCGTGAAGCGGCGGCGGTGGCGGCGGCTGTTGCTGCTGCTGCTGTTGCTGTTGGTGCTGGTGTTGGTGCTGCGGGTGCTGGTGCTGATGCTGCGGGTGCTGATGTTGATGTTGATGCTGGTGCTGGTGCTGATGCTGGTGCTGAGGCTGAGGCGGGTGTTGCTGCATATATGTTTGTGGCAAATTATGCATAGTTGAGGTGTTGAGTCTGAGCCCACCTGGACGACGAGAAGCAGCTCAAGTCAGCCCATGTCGTCTCTACGCGTGGCAAAAAGGGGGAGGAGAAGTGCATACTGTTGTGGTCGATCTCATCATAGTCGTGCTTGATGTCCTTGAGAGTGGTCGGAATCATGGCGGGAGGCACGCTGGTGGGAATATAGGCTGCGTTGTACTCTTCACCGTGGGCGGGAGACGAGGGGCTGGGGATGTTGCCGAGGACGGGATTTGGGGCGACAGACGGCTGCCACGGTTCGCCGCCGGCACTCGTCATGTGGCCATACGACTGCTGCGCGTAGTCGTTGATCTGGTTGAAGTCACTCGAGGGCAGAGGAGACACCCTCGGGCTCGGCACAGCACCGCTGCCAGAACTGAGATTGTCGTCGTAGACTGATGGACCTGGGGTTAGCGGTCCAAAGTAAAGGTCATGGGCGTTGCTGGTCATGGTACCTGGCGTACCTGCGGAATTCGAGGAGTAGGATGAGTCCGTAGCGGTGTAGCCCATGTGTTCTCGAAGCCTGGCAATCTCCTGTTCGAGGAACTTGTTCCGCCGCAGAAGTTCCTGGACCTTTCTGTCACGGCTCTGGACGCCCTTGAGCTCGGCAAGCTCACGCTCTAGACGCTCAATGTGCTCCTTGGTCCTGGCCCTAATGGCCCTCTGAGCCTCACGGTCGTTGGCTCGCTTGCGTGCCAGTTGTGAGGGCGTCAGGGTCGAAACACTTCTGGTGCCTATGTGGATATGAATAGTTAGCTGGCAGTCCCAGTCACAGAAACTGAAACGGTAGGGGCAAAAGAGCATGAGAACAACTCACGCCGCCACTGCCGTAACAGTGAAGGCGATTGATCGTTCAACATGCCAATTGCATAAACAGTAGCATCTTACTCACCCTTTCGCTTGGAAGGCTTGGTGGGCTCTCCGGATGATGATCGCGGCATGTTGCACTCGATCTTGTATAAGAGGGACATGCAAAACTCGGTAGCAGGCCGCAGTTAAAGCAGCTTGGTTGCGAAGAGGGCAGAAAAGCCGTAAAAGGCCGTGGAATCAGTCAAGTGGGGGAGCCTCCGTAATAAATAGTGTATCGATTCCCTCTCGCCCCAGGAGACCAGCAACAGAGAGTTGATGAGGCAGCTTGTCGTGGGTCGCGCTACGAAAAAAGAGACGGGGGGTCCCGCTTCGTTTTTCGTTGACGGCGGTTGATTGACTCAGGCGTCAACAGAATAGAAACACCAGAGAGACAAGGCTGTAGACGCGTAAGATGCCCTGGCCGAGTCGAATAGAACGCGGAGGTTGCCACGCCCAAAAAAGCAGTTGCAACACTGAGAGAGTAGAAGCAGTAAGAAGGCCGTCGATAGTGATCGTCGACAAGGCTTGAGAGGCTGCTCTGAGACAATGAACAAGTCAGAAGCAGTAGAGAGAAGATTGTGTCTCGAATCCGACTTGATGAAGGATCCAGAACGGGGATTTCTTGGAGTGGACGGAGAAAAATAGATCTCGTTCTCGCAAGGTACAAGACGAATAAATACTATTATACCAGCGCACACCTTTCGAACATGTCTCCCAGTTGGCAAAGATGGGTGTGGACCCTCTCTGTCTCTAGTACAGACAGGGACCACGGGCTTTACCAGGACGCACCGGTGGAGATGGGGGGTGTCTGCAGACAAGCACTAGACCAGCAGGTCGGAGGCGACCAGGGGGGCGCTTAGGGAGGCGTGGCCAGAGTGTGTCTAGATGGAAAGCGGACGACCGGGTCTTGAAGAGAGCCTGCAGAACTCTGCAACACAAAGCGTGCTGTGGCGTTGCATTCATGACGACTAGTTCTGGCAGTACCGGCAGCACTGGCATACTGTAGGTGCCTGCCGAGCCGTCGACGAGGCGGCAAGATGACTGCGTACATACCAAGCTGATACTACTAATCCAGTATGCACTGTGCTGCCCAGTCCGCGGGGAGAAGCCATCGAGAACGAATCGACGCCACTGCAGGTTGGCACAGTATGAGGTACCAGAGGCGCTGAGCTGCTTCGGACCGCTTTGCCTTAGTGTCAAAAGCCCAGAGAAACGCGTGCATGTAGTTGCACATACACCATGTAAACGCCGTAGCCGGGGATGCAAGCCAGCAGAAAGGCGAGCCGCTGAGCTAACTGGGGAGTGGTGGAGGCCAGGTAGGCTTGATAAACCAGGACATCAAATACCGAGTCTACACACTTGTACGTCCAACAGCATAGCGTACGTACACGAATGGAGATTCAAGCACAGCTCATGATACGTCGGCCGGCCTTAACACATGTCGCCCCTTCCGCCGCTATGTTCGCAGCATCAGCTACTGGCTTCTTCAGCGCGGCAAGGGAGGAGGCTGGCGGAAAGACCAGAGACAAGAGACACAGAGTGGCCTGCAGGCGGATCATGCTGTGACGCTATCGTCTCTCGCGACGGCGCTGGGCTTGGTCTGATGGAGCTGGCGAGCACGTTTCCGTGTGGGTGCTGCCGGCCAGACAACGGCTCTCCGTCCTGGCGGCCCTCGCTGACAAGACGGCAGTCGCCTGCTAGATTGATACAGGCATAGTCAAAACCCTTTGGTTTTGGCTCGTCTCGAAGTCTGCTACCCAAGTCGCCGTGAGGAAGGTGTTGCAACAGACTTGTACAGTAGAAGCACGCATGCAGAGTACCTGTATTTCGCAGGAAGACTGGATCGCGCGATCTGGCTTTGGAGGGGCTGCAGCCCAGTTAACAGTGTCTCTAGCCCCTGCTCCAGAAAAAGCCGTTACACATAATACAGTACTCGTACTCTGCAGGCGTTCAGCCAGAAGAGAGGGCGAGACTCGTCCTGGATCGGGTCGGCGGCGGAACGCCTATCCAATGGTGATCCCTGCTTCCTGGTTAGGTCGTAGATACGTTGTCCCAGGGAAACAGCAATTGATACAGGTAGACAACCAAGAGAGGTCGCCAGTTGACAGCGTTTCAAAAGACTGAGCGATACAAAGAGCTGGGGCAACTCGCCTTAGAAGAAGACCAGTTTGACATGTGCCGAGCATGCCTTGAGGTACGAAGTCCATTGTTCCCCATACTTCGCAGAGTTGATACCGGCGTGCCTCGTGGTAACCGGCGACATGCTCTACGTCGCTCTCCGAATCGGTCTCGTTGTGGTGGTCTCGATCTAGCTGGATGTCTCAGCGCCTGTCCCAACTCTCTCCTTCACCTCGTCTGTAATGCCTGGCCTCTGCTGCTCAGCTCTCCGCTGCGGTCTGGGTGACTTCCGGCATCCAGGGACCAGCGGTGGATCGCCAAACGCCGACGGCGCCTGCGGCCATTGGTCATGCTGGAAGTGCGGTGCCATTGTAGGTCGCAGATGCAGCGAGCTAGAGCGGCGGTGGTGTGCGCCTCGCCGACTGTCTTCTTGCATCCCGTCCATAGAAGATTCGAATCGATGGGTGGCGCCCCGGTGTTGATGGTGTAGGACTTGCTCGACCGAGCTGAACCGGCATGGTACTTGGGCAGAGGTTGAAGTCTTGAAGAAGCTGAGCGCCGCTCACGGATCAATTGGACTCCCAAGGTCGTGCAAGGTTCCGTGTCTGGTACAGTACATACATTACTGACATTCACTGGACAGCCCAGTACATGTATCTACAGTGGCCTTCAGCGATGGTGGTGCGCTGCAGGTTCGTGCTAGCTGCTTTAGCGCGGAGCCCTATGTTATCAAGACACTGACCGCCTCCGCTAGCCTGAAAACGCACCAGGCAAGTACGAGGACAGTGTTGAAGATTTTTGGGCGGTTATGAGATCACGATTGGACGCTTGGATGGAACTACGGTCAAGGGCTGTATTTTTCTGCATCATGTGGCGACGCAGTTTGGATCTGCCAACTGTACTGATGCTGGCTGGTGCATCAAGTTCAAACGAGACGATGCAGGACAGTATCCGTCCGGCGTCTAGCATCACCACTGGGTAAGGTACCTGGTATGAAAACACACCGGACGAAAATCTCCCACTTCCCCAGTTTACACCAAAGAGAAGACGTCATTCGCAGGGGTGAGGTAATTCCCTTTGCTGTCCGTCTCCAGACGTCACAGCACCTCGAATCTGCAACTGGAAGGCGTGCTCGAATTTTCATGCTCTTGCACCATCACTGCGGTAGCAACACCAACACTTTGCCTCGATTGCCTTCGACTTGCAGCATTGTGCATTACAGTTTTGCCACGACCGTCAGCAAATCCGTTGCGCTGCTATCCATTCTTCAGGCTCCATCGAATGGGCTACCTTTTCCTTCCAGGCCTTCCGGCAGCCTGGCCAAGCCGCAAGGCCCCGAGCTCCCAGCATCCCAAAACCGCTCAGCCGTCCTCGTTTTCGCATCACGAACCGACAGCGATGATCCAAGTTGTTTGCCTGTCAAAACGGCCCTAGCGCCCAACCACAGCCGGATGGGCCGCGACTCCCGGCATCCGGTATTTCGCACAGCGGCAGCACAGAGGATGTGGAAGCTTTTCCCATCATTCTAGAACCCCCATTTACTGCTCTGTCATCATTGTCTCTAGCTTAAAAAGCCCCCGAATAATAGCGCAGCAGCCGATCTGCCACCGAGCACCCGAACCGCCTCAGACCGTGTGCTGTGATACGGTGGATTGGAGTTGGTGGCATTACGCTCTGGAACCGGCCGAAACGTGCTGCACGCACACGCCCCTGCTTCCCATGTCATCATTCTGCAGGCCTTTCCTGTGTCAAGCAGTTGTAAATACTACGATGAAGCTAGGCCTTCGAATCAAGCGGTACAGTATTACTGTACGAATTTTGTGGGTTGGCCCCCTCTTGATGCTTCTACAACTGGCTTCTGTTCACTAGTATCGCAAACAACACAACGAAGAGGTGGGAGAAGAGAAGAGGCTTCGTGCTAACGTTGACTGTGGCGCGTGGCGACTGTCCAGCGACGCCATCAACTCCACTAACGGGATAAAACTGGGCGATGCTCGTGGCAGAGGGAGGCTTGAAACGAGACTGCCAACTTGCTTGTTTCTGCTGGCCCTTTGTATGCGCGGCTGCTGCGGATGGGATGCCGGACAGATTGCCTCATCACCGCTGACCAAGCTCGGTCCGCTGTATCTGTTCCTGAGCGACGGCGACATTTCGTTCGAGGTGAAGCAGCATCTGCCTTGTTGAAGAAATACAGAGGCGAGACGACGGTTGAAGGGAGGCGATAGCCTGAAGACGTCTCGCGCAGAGCAGCAAGGAAGAAAATGCGACGGCCAGTCAGCCGCTAGCATTTGACTCGCACAAACAACGGGCGGCACTTCCCGCCATGTCTGCACGCTTGCGCAAAGAAGAGGCTACCTCAGGCCTCGTGCACTGTTGATGCCAAACGCCATCGACCAGCCAGCTCTTGAGAAAAGCATCTGCCTAAACTGCCGCTAAGTGCCCCTGGAATCTGCAACATGACTTGGGGAATCCAGAGATTGGCAGTTTCGGATGGTCTTGCGCGGGGGATGGTTGAATATTCGCATCCATGAAGGTGCTCAATTCTCAACAGTCTGCCAACAAGCGGGGGACAATGACCTGGAAGAGGAAGACTTTTCTCATCTGTCCCCCACGGAAGCTCTAGAGAGTTGTGCGTCTGTCGCTCACACAGTCTTTCCGCCCAGTGTTGCGATCGCGAAGTGTTTCGTCTTCATCATTTCCCCTTTTCGTCTCCATGGAGATACTGCTCCTTCTTGTCGATCAGTGGCTTGCCTGGTTCCGCACTCAGGCAATCTCAAACTTCGGACTTGGAGTCTTATACTGTCATTAATGACAGCAGTTTAGCGTGCACCTCCATCACAACTCTGCTCCGGGTGCTTGGTCTGCCTCTCGGTCCGTTGATTACGAGTACGGAGAAGCAGACGAAGAATGGGATAGAACGAGACTAGAAGCAATCGAAGCACAAGGGGGCGCCACCCTTGTAGCCAAAGCGTCTGTGGCTGCCTGTCTGCTTGGTTCCAGCGACGCCCTTTTCTGGAACATGCTTCCATGGCCTTTCTTCATCGGACATGTGCTCCGTGGGCTAGACAAGGTCGTTCCTGGCAGCGATTCGACAGCAGCACCAGTAAGGGCATGCAGCCCAAAGAGCGGAGACGCAGATGCCAGAGAGCGATCAGGGTGTCCTCTCTCAATCTCCAGGATCCACCGCCGGTGCTTCCTGGTGCCCGTACGCAGAGGGAAGAAGGTTATTATTGGATTAACCTGCTGAGGGCACGAAGAATGAGTCTGCTCTCCATTTACCCACTCTAGTATACGCGCCTCCTCCTCTTAGATAATTCCCCTTAGCAGCGCATAGCGGAGGAAAGTCAGCGTTATGACGCCCATCCCTGGCACACGAAGGCACCGGCATTCATATGCCCCAAGGAACGCCCGCCCGGGCCTTGCTTGGAGATGGCTCATATGGGTACATTGCAACCCAACAAAGATGTGTGGGGAGCTTTGCGCTCGGTGATGAGAAGGACTGCGACGCCTCGAAAGCCGAGCACCGATCCGGGCAGACCATGATGCCGCTGCCATGATTGGAGCGCCATCTTTCTGGCCCGTATAGACGAGCACGGACGCTGGTTGAAAGCCATCGTTCGTCCCCCTTTTGTTCTCGTGCTTTGGGACACAATGCTGCTGGGTGGTGGTTAACGCGACGGGACTCATATTGAGTAACAAATACTAGTACTACATCATAGCCGACAGATCTGCCGCCTGGATATCGGAGCATGAAGCTCGGGACGTAGCCGAGAGGGCCGCCAACCCGCTGACAGGCGGTGGATATCCTGCACCCTGAGCTAATGGTGACAGATACGCCGTTGCGCGCTCTGCTGGAGCAGATGACCCATCGAATAACAAGACGGTTGTCAAATTGTTAGTCGACAGACCTCGGGGTTTGAGTGGTGAGTCTTGGTTTTGGTGCACGTTGATATTTGGTGCCTAGGCGCATACCGTTTCCCTGTCATCCCGTGTCGTCCAGCCCTATCCGCTTGTTTCGGTATCGCGACATGAATCCGTCAGCGGGATGTCACCGTCAGCTGCGGCGATTCCGACTGGGAATCTTTCGGCGCTGCCTGAGAAAGAATGGTACTTCGGCTGCGTAATCTTCCAGCGTTCATGGCCAGCAGATACAGATCTCATCTTGTCACTGAAGCTAAGCGCAGACCTGGACAAAGCAAATTTACAGTCTAGTGATGGTAATGGATCACCGTCGTCTTGGGTACAGCTTAGACTCCAAGGAATGTGACACATGACGGGGGTTTATTAGGCACTTTCTGCGCTGGGCTAATCTGATCATTGGCAGGCGATGTGAAGACCAGCGAGGCTACCTATCGTCGCGAGGCTGATTTAGTGGCGATTGCTCACAACTGTCCATTTGTTGGACATTTGTTTGGTGGCTTCCGATGGCAATAGCGCCTGCAGAGGGGCTGAACTATCACAAACTTGACGCCTGGAATGGATAATTGCCACATATGGCAATGTGCACGCATTTTCGGGGGGTTGCCTCTGAAGCAATCTCCAGCTCAGCCTGACAATACTTGAGATCCCCTCCCCCCCTTTACAGTCTCTCCGGCGGCATTTTATTTGTCCTGCGGGACGATAACCAAGTTTCCAGCAGAACACCATCGCAAGGCTGCGAAGATCGCATGCTCATCCAACCACCAGCTATCTGTGCAGGCAGGTGTGATTGATGGTCTTCCAGATGGACAGGGTCTCCCCCCATCTGCTCCCTTGCATATACTACCACCCGATCAGCCTGGGACTACTGAAAAGAAGATGAGCATCTACGGAATAGTGCCTGCTTGTGCGCGTATCTGCGTGATCCTACAGGACATCTGCCTTTTTTCTCAGCTTACAATTATCTTACAGAGCGCATTTCGTCCAACCAGAGCCCAGTGACAAGGGAAAAGAGGCTGCAGACGTACATCGATCTCGCCCACCCATCTTCCCAAGGCTGAGCCTATAACAAACAGACAGTTGAGCAAATGCTTCGTACGCCAAGCACACCACGCCAGAGACGAGGAGGACAAACAGGTTCTCCAGGCTGACCTATTCTTACGTGTCATATGCAGCTCCCTTCTTTGACCGCGGAGAAAAATTTTTTTCCTCTTCGCCTCCTTTTTGTGAGCAAGGCTCTGAGATGCCCCATTAGACCGTATATTTGTTTGCATTCATGCGCTCAGCTCAACTTTTTGCCATTTCGGATGAAAGGGAGATAGACAGACTCCTGTTGTCGTCATTTCAGCTTTCAAGCCTGAGAAGACGGCAACTTCCGCATTGATATTTCTTGGTAGAGAGGCAAAGAGAACGGGACATGTGTGACGTGTGTCCTTTTCTTTTGCTGCGCCTCGTGCCTTATTATTCTTTCCGGGCTTCCATTTTCCTTCCGCCCGGATTCGGAATAAGATTACGAGATTGGCGAGTGTCCAGGTACTTGTAGGTAGCTCGGTCGAAGAAGGGCTTACTAACGCTGCGAGGCTGTATGATCCAAGTACATGACGGTACTTCATCGGACCGCTCATTCGCCTCCTTGAAAGTGAAAAGTGAGAACGTTGATTGATGAGCAAGGGGAGGGAAGTGTTCTGTATTCTCCATTTCTTTTCTCGTCATTCGCAGTCAAAACTATATGTAATCTTTATCCGTTTCTCATGCAGTCCAAGATGCATTGCTACGGTATCTGGAAAACTTGATTCTGACGGACCAAAGCCCTACAAGTAGTATCAGATACGATGCGATACGGAAGCGATGCAACTGCAAGATGCAGATGCACACGATGACTCGCTCTCGCTCAACAACTAGCCTAGAAACTCTATCTTGCCCTTGTAATTCAGTGCTTTCGTTTCTGCTGCCGTGACTAATCAGCGGATCTGAGATCATAGGAAGTGGACGATTTCGTCGAATCTCTGGAGTTAATACCTCCTATCAAAGAAGTGTGATACTAGTATTGTTATTCCCCTGGAAGTAACCTGGCACGGTACCCAGCAACATGGAGCCTTTTTGGTCCCAGATGCTAATTGGACTAGAGGACCCGCCTATCAAGCTTTTCTAAAAGGGCATGTCTCGCCGGTTTGTCATTTTTTCCCTCCTTAACCCTTGTTAATAATCTTCATAACGGTCCGGAGGTTTTTAGCTCATCTACAGAAGATGGATGGATGGAGAAGCGAAGCGGCAGAATGAACGCTGTTTGGCTGTGTATGGTTCTGACCGCCGGCTGTCAAGTTCCGGCCCCATTTGGCTGGTTCGACTTCCGGTTCCTGGTCCCTCTCCCTCCACTCCCTCCACTCCCTCCACTCCCTCCACTCCGCTCCTTGAAGTTATCTCAGTGATCTCATTGTGGCAGCCTTCTTTTGGCTGTTGTTATCCTTGTCCGTTTTCTGTAGTTTTGCTTTTGTGAGGCTGCTTCTTTGCTCTCTCTCTTCCTGTTTTGGGTCATCGGGCTGCCAACAGTAATAGACGTGACGCAGTTCGTGTGTATCAAAAGCGCTGCTGAATGGTGGACTATAGATTTCCCAGCTGTCCTTCTTCACCCAGCCTTCTCAGCCTCATCTCTCGTCTCACTTCATCTCACAAGATACGGCCTATAGAAAGCCTATACTTGGATGAGCAGGAGTATGTAATGCAATAATTCGATCCGTGATAGACTCCCATCTCGCCCCCCCCCACGGCATTGACGCCGGGGCATTACCCAATCTCGCCCGCATGTGCATCCAAGGGCCGTTGAAAGAAAATGCTCCTTCCCCTCGAGAATTTTCGGAAACAGGGCGGTCGATGATGAGGGCTGGTCCATTGTTTGGTCGTGAGCAATTTTGACAAGGCAGGGACTTGTACTGTCGTAGTAGTAGAGATTCGGATCTGCAGCAGGCCACTTTTTGACCCCCGTGCTTCTCGCTCTGGTCTGCACGAATAGCACTGCGTTGATCAAAGGTCTCACTTATCACATGCGTTTACCGTTTCCTCATTCCCCTTCCATTCCCATTTCCCGTCCCGTTTGCGTACAGCGTAGTCATATCGAATTACATACTCCTTTTCGCACCCCGTGATTCATCTATCCGTCCATTTAGCCATCTACTTGTCCCTCCCCAGCTGAGTGCAGCCATCACATCGCCTTGCTGCATGGTAGGAGTTCACGTGCTCAAGAGCCTCTTCTGTAGGATGAACCCATGTACGCACGAATGTGATACTCGTACGTACGCAAATGCGTATAATCATCAGCGTTGCCTGGCCCTTGCAGCTTCTCATCTCTCAAAGTCGATCTTCGGATAAATTTGCCCTCTTTTGGACCCCCCACAGCCATTCGTCCACGTAGAGCTGATCCCACGCCGTAATTGGCAAAGAGTGATCATCTCCGCTCCACGGTAGGAACTGGACCAGGGGGGCGTGTGATGAGAGCATGAGCGTTCTGACGAGTCATTAATCGTGATGTCGGGATTTTGACGTGGTTGTGGTTGCGGGCACATTGTTCTTTGTCGATTCTTGGGCATTGCACAGGTATCGCAATGAAGCCACGATTTACATTGGTCGTCATTGATGCAATACGCAAATAGTGGTCTATCAACTGGAGAAGAAGTGTTCTCATAGCTAAGAAAAGCATGTGTGACGATCTATAGACGTTGGCCATTACTCGTAGGGTGAATCACGGGTCCGTCGCTATCGTGAGTTTGACAGCTCTCTATCAATCGGCTCATAATCCTCTAGACTCCATAACTCTAACTGGCGGCTGCTCCCGTCTTCGTCTTGCTTGCTCAATGTCTGTAGCTAGCTGTCTGTTCTACTGTCGTGCATCATGACTCATGATTCGTTAGATTCGGTTGAGAGGCGGTTCAAGCTGAGAACCCGAGTGAGCATCTTGCACTTCGGCCTCCGTCTGAGCCTGTTCCTTGGCTCCGGCCGCTGCCTTCGCCTTGGCCTGCACTTCAGACGAAATCTCGGGGTTCTCGTCCCTGACGGCTTCCACAAGCTCCTCCATGCCGCCCACTGTCGTCGGCCCACTCATACCCTCGGGGGGGAGGGCCCATTTGGGCAGCGGGCTCGTGTATGCCCAGCTCCCGTCGGCGTCCTCATATCGCAGGCTGTGAAGCCAGAGCGACAGTTCGTGGCTCCCCGGGTCTGAATAGAGCGGCGTCTCACAGATGTCGCACAACTCGCCCGTCATCTTCTCTGCTCGCTTCTTCTCGTACCTGTCCACCATCTCGTCGTAGTATACGACAGCCTCCGCCACATCCTCCTTTCCCATGCGATTCAGACGGCTAATGATGTCCTCGTCGGTATTGTGTGATCCATCGGCATCCGCCTGGCCAAGGTTCAGGCCCCAGACCCGTTGATTGGCGTAGATGGGGTCGTTTTGAATAGGGTGCCCGAGATACTGCAAGTGCACTCGAAGCTGGTGCGTCCTACCCGTTACCGGCAGGCATCGAACGATGGAGTAGCCCTTCTTCTTCAGCCAAGGCGTACGCTGCTCATCTGCGCCACGTTCTTCTTCGTTCGATGGCGTAGGTGGCCGCCCATCTTCAGCCAGCACGGCCGGCTCATCAGCGTCCCCGTCCGGCGGCGGGTAGTACGCCAGACGCTTGAAGACGGTCCTGGCTGACTTGCCATTAGCGCGCACGCGATTCAGTCCCAGCTTTGGGGAGATCTGCAGTATCGGCTGGTCGCAGACGACCTCGCCGTCTGGGAAGTGGCCGACAACGCGCGCCAGATACTCCTTCCTCACAGTGCGCCCCCTGATCTTGATGGCCATGGCTTCCGCTGCCTTGACGCTCTTGGCAATGAACATGATGCCGCTGGTCAGGCGATCCAATCGATTGCACGGGTATGGCATGAAGCCTCTTCCCCTCTCCGCAATCATGATTTCGATGACCGAATTAAAATTGTATCGGCCAGCGGGGTGCACAGGAACGCCCGAAGGCTTGTTGATGACGATAATATCGTCATCCTCGTGGATGATGCCTATAGGCTCCGCGGTGACGGGAGGCTCGTGTCGGTGCAACGTGTGCGATATCAAGTCTCCGTTGCGAACAATGTAGTCTGGGCCAACCACGCGGCCGTTGACGAAGATGTCGCCTCGCACCATGGAGTTTCGGTAGTACTCGACAGGTCGGTCTCGAAACTCGGACTCGAAGATGTCAATAAGCGAGCGTCCCCGCCATCTCTCCTTGCAGTATGTGTTGTACGTGAAGTGGTAGGGTAGCACGCGGCGTAGGTCGTCCTCAAAGACGTACGGGCGTGGCCAGATGTCGCCCGCAGGCGTGATGAGGGCGGCGTTATGGTCGGGTATGACGGACCGGTCCCTGGGAGCTGGCTTCTTCTGTTTCTTCTTGGCAGCCTTGAGTCCATCCGCGGGCCCTTGCACGCTTCCATTGACCTTTGGTACATGCGTTTCTCTGTCTCCGTTCTCGATGCTCCCCTCAACCACCGCTTGCCCCTCGGCTACGGCCCCCGCTGCAGCTGCAGATGTCCCTGGCTGCTCAGGCTGTGCTGTCGCTGTCAAGTCGCGCGTCGAATCGCCATTTGAGGCCGCCGAGCTGCTCGCGGGAACTGCGGCGGTGGTGGCGGGGGCTATGGAAGACGTCGTCATTGCGACAGTTGCTGTTCGTGCGAGCGTGCGGATGCTTCTCGAACAAATCCGCGGCAGCATCAGCTGGTAGCGCCGCAGACTGGAGAGACGCTTCGACTATGTCCGACGTCACGCTTCTCCGCGGCGATAGTCAGAGGCAGCCGCCGCTCGCCCGGCGTCTGTTGCGTGTCGAGAAGCCGAATTACGGACTTGGCCGTTGAATTGCAAATCCAATCACTCGAAATTTGTGTGTCGTCTGCGGAGTGACGTAGCACCTCCTGTCGTGGAAGAAAAAATTCACAAGATGCAGCATGCAACAGAGAATTTAGGCGGTCGAGGCCGGCAGAACCGCTCGGCACGGCGGATTTGGATCCTTGTCTGGCGTGGCGGGGAAGCCGCTGGACGGCGCCGAAGATGCGTTAGGTAATCACGTTTTCTACGTGTAAATTTGCTATTTTGGTTGCCTGCCTACCCTGGAGAGGGCGTGGAGATTGCCGAGGCTCGGCTTCTGCCGAATGGACCTCTCCAGCTCTCGCCAAACATCTCACCGAGCAAGACGAATGCTTACCTGTTTATGAGGTAATCCTGTCTTTTGCCTCCCATCTAACCGCAGCGTGTTTTGGTCATTCTCCTGAGCGTCTTGTCCGCTGTCGACCAGTCGTCGGAGTGCCTGTAACGTCACATATCCTGTCTATGCACTGCTCCTTCTCTCGCCATCAGCTCTGCAGCCGCTTCGAGCTTGAAACATGAGCCTCGCCGTCCTCAAGACCCGCCGCCGTCGGGACTACCCATACCTTCTGGAGTACAGAACGAGATGGTCAGTTCGATTTCATTGCTGCGTCTTGCTCATCACACCCCCCCCCTCTGTGGTCCAGGCGTCGTTCCCAACCCTTCGGGTCGATTGTCGTTAATCCTAAACGGGATGCATACCATCCCTGCCGCAGCATGGCAAATCAGCCTCAGCCTCTTGGCCAGCCATTGAGATGAGACGAACTCGACAGAATGCTAGGCCAGAGAGACCACGGGGCGATGAAACGTGCACGGTGGTTCAGAGGCTGTGTCCAGTGTTGATGATGTGTCTTTTGCCGCCATAGGAACGACAACGACATGTACGACCATATGAACAACTCAGTGTATAACTTCCTGTAAGACTCACTCGCACATACGCGCTGACCTATCTGGACAACTTCAGCCCTAGCTCCCCAATCTTGTTTCCTGTTTCCTGACTCGGTCACACTACACCCCCAGTCTTCCATTCAAAGAGTGGCTTGTGAACACGTCTCTTGAGACTATTGCTAACTAGTTACTGCGCTGAATCTGCTGAATGCTAGATTCGACTCCGCCGTGAACAGCTACCTCGTCGAAAAGTGTGGCATTCACCCCCCCACATCACCTCAGTATGGCCTGGCAGTGCACTCCCACACGGATTTCTTGGCCTCCATTGCCTACCCGGCCGTGGCGGAGGTTGGCGTACGCGTAACCAAGCTGGGAAAGTCGAGCGTAACCTACGAGGTAGCCCTGTTCGAAAAGGGCAGTGACGAGGTCAAGGCTGTGGGAGGCTTCGTGCATGTATTTGTCGAAAGGGCCACAGGGAGACCCCCCAAAGACGGCATGAATGCCCAGCTGAGGGAAGCATTGGACAAGATTCACTTGGGGCCTGTCGTCCCACCAAAGGAGCCCAGTAAGCTCTGAGCTGTCGGTTGTGCATACGGTCCTCGTATGTATTCACTCTTTTCTCTCTCGAGCCAGCGATTGGATGCCTTTATATTGTGCTCATGTACGTCGATATTAGCGCTGTCGTCTCTCGCCCTATAGAAACTCGTACTTCTGGGTCGATCCATTCTTGTCGCCACTCGTGAACATCTTCTCTAGGAATTCCAAGTCGGCAAGGGCCTGTTCCGGTGTCTGCAACGGATTAACCTTGCCGTCAACTAGGCTCTGCGCCCAGGCGGCAACCTCCTCGCTCACACCATTCGTCCTATCAAACTTCTTGACCTGCTCCTCCCCACCAGCCGGTTGCACCGTGACTGTCTCGCCGACCACCTTGACGGTACCCTTGTCGTAAGAGAAATTCCACTCGAATGCCTGGAGCAGAGATCCAGCCGACTGCTGAAACACGCCCGCAGCCCCGGACTTCGTCTTGATGATGGCGTTGACGGTGTCGATGGGCTGCAAGTGCTCGCACGTCAGTGCGGTAAAGGCTTGCACTGTGTCCGGCGTGTTCTCGTCGCCTGCTAACAGCAGCCTCGTGGCCGCAGCAAAGTGAACACCGCCATCGAGCAGGAAGCCCCCCTGGTAGTCGGGCGTCTTGCGCCAAGCGGTGTTGTACCACTTACTGTCGGGTTGGATGCGGAACAGGACGCGGACGGTGAAGTTGTGCACTTTGCCAAGCTTTGCGGCCTCGCTGGCGGCGTGGGTGAAGCTGGGATAGAAGCGAAAGTTCTCGGCGACCGCAAAAGTGGCCTTGGTCTCTGAATTGATGCGCCGAGCATTGGCAATGAGGGCCTGTGCTGTGGGGACGTCCTTGGCGATGGGTTTCTCGGCGAGGACGTGTTTGCCAGCAGAAAGAGCCGCTTCGATGAAGGAAGGTTGGATGGGGATGGGGAGGGCAATGATGACGGCAGAGATGTCGTCCCGTTTGAGGAGATCTTGGAATGCCTTGCCAGCTCCTGAGTCCTCCGAGTAGAGATCCGGCTTGGGGACGGAGTCGGGAACGAGGCTGGCGGTTTCTTGGGCTGCTTTGAGAGATCTTGAGTAGATGGCAGCGAGATGAATGAGGTCGCATGTAAGAACGGCAGGCTGTGAATAGCATTAGCTGGAATGTTGTCATGGGTACCATCAGGGGAGCCAGGAGTTGAATGTTACCAGATGTGATTCCTTGACGAACAAGCCTCCTCCGATAATGGCAATTCCCATGGTCGACGGCATAGCGGGCAATTAATTCGATGCAAGGCTATATGTGCTATTCTCAATGAGCCGAAAACAATTTAGAGTAATGGTGGGATGTCGAGAAAAGGCTGAGAAGCTATTGCAAAAGTTGATATTCATCTCGTCCCCTCTAGAGTGGGGGAGGGGTTCCGCTGCCCCGCCTTGGAGATTGGTGTGTTCGTCATTGAGGCCAAGATTTCGGTACCATATATAGGATCAAACACTCGTGGAAATTAGCAAGAGTGAGCATGTGCAATAGGGGTATGATGAGAGATAACTTTTATCGCTTCAATGTGGGATGTTGAGTCAAAGCGCAAATGCAATAGATATGTTAGTTTTCTGCGACTTGAAGAGTACATGTATCCTTGTTCCGATGCGGATACATGATACGATATGCTGGTAAAGAAGCTCTTATTGACAGTCAGATAAAACATTGTTTGGTCTTCAATGTCTTTCAGAATTTACCTCAAGTACGCTCGAGAGCCGTGGCAAAGTATGATGAAATCGGCCCTACTCGATACCGCCTTGATCCGAGCCGCAACCTCGTTCTCGACAGTGCTTTAGGCTCGGCATACCTCTCGAACTCTTTGAGATCTACTCAGACCGACTCTATAACTGCAGGATGGTACGGCACCATGTCAAACAGAGCCAAAATGTAGTTCAGCAACTGCCATTTTTTTGAGACCGGCGTCATCGCGACAGCTGTTGTCCCACGTGCTGTCGCTTCAATGTCATTCTCTGTGTGCTTCAGTCCTGAAACCAACGCTTCCAATAGTTAGCAAGATACCATGGACAAAATTTGAGAGAATGATTAGGTTTACAGAAGGTGTACAGTTGAATTCTATCTTCAGAGATGGTAGTTCTTCCGCTCAGTACAATGGCAAGAATCTCAACTAGCAGTCGGCACAGAAGCAACACGAGATCGTAAATATCTTCGAGGCGTAAGCTCAGAATGTCGCTAATGATACGCAAACACTTTCTCCTAGTACTTCAGCTAATCAGCAGGCATTCGCATCTGGCACTGGGTTAGTGACGACGCCAATTCATGAGTAAGTATAACAAAGACAGGAGCTATACCTGAGGCCATCTCATGACATGGCTCTCTACTGGTAGGTTATCCCTTGTCCTTCTCAGACGTTCAAGCGAGACGGATACTTTTTTATATAACACAAATAGCTGCCAGTAAATGCTCTAAAAACCACGTTGATGTGGATAGGGTGACTCCGGCAGCTATCTTTTCTATTAAGAGACGGCGCCAACGATGTCTATGAACTAATCAAATGTTTAACGAACATTACGCGTGGAGATATGTCTATAATAGTAACGTATTATACTATTAAAGTTCACTAAGCTCCCTTTTAATATTATTAAGGTATGTAGAGTCAACTTATCCCTGACCCTGAGTAGCTTACCATCATTTCTACTAATACCCATGGGATTCTTAGGCTCATCCGCTAGGAATGTATACTGGATGTTGGGGATGAGAAAGTTGTAATAGTCGCCCTTTGATGATACGGAACTTGGAGCCAAATTCTTCTCCGAAGATCTTGAGAACCTCGCTCTGAGAAGTTACAGAGGAGAAGACCGAGAGGTACTTGTTCGCAATCTGTTCTGGCTTCTTCAGCATAGCAGCGAAAGTTCCGTCAATGAAGGAGACGTGAGTTGCTGCATATGGTTTGCCCCGGAGCCAATGATCGTTGCAGTCTTGTCTTTGGCGTTAATTCCGAGCAGGACCTGAGTTCTGATTCCCTGTTTTGCATATTAGCTCGCCGCGCAGTCTTGTATATACAGCTTGAACAGCCGTTTCAAGCCTTACCCAGTCGAATAACCACTCAAGTGAGTCAATCATTTTCCGAGTAACCTCGTCCAGGTAGTCAGTCAAGCTGGTTTTGCTCCCCAAAACCCCCCCAAGAGCCTTCTCTTTCGTACAATCACAACCGAAAAAAAAAAAAGAAAAAAAAGAAAAGAAAAAAAAAAGAAAAAAAAAGAAAAGAAAAAAAAAAAAAAAAAAAAAAAAGAAAAAAAAAAAAAAAAAAAAAAAAAAAAAAAAAAAAAAAAAAAAAAAAAAAAAAAAAAAAAAAAAAAACAGAAAGAGAAAAAGTAAAAAAAAAAAAACATTTCCAAGGCTCATGGGCTACGTTACCTGGCGAGGACGGCGAGTGATGGGACCACGCCTTCCCCTCCTACAGGCTCCTCGGTCAAGGATCAAAGCAGCGAAAATCCGAAGGCAATATCGTAGTAGTGAAAATGTGCCTCACAACTACAGGTGTGATCGGAAATTCCTCAAGGCGTCAAAATTCCAATCCTGGCGTGGCAGGAAAAGGGGTCGCTTATAGATTGAACCTTCAGGCAGCCAAGCCACAGAATGGCAATTTTCAGGTGGCTTTCGAAGCATCTGCAGTGTAGATGGCAGCTAGCAAGTAAGTCTGACCGCAAGAAGAAACACATACTGATCGCTCATGTTCACTGAGCAGGTTTTTACCTTCGATTTTGCAGTGTAGAGGAGCATTCATGGCATCTGGTATCCCACGACCTTTGTCCCTTGAGCAATGCGATTTGAGGGTTTGTAATCATAATAGTTACTGAGTAGAAATGCTGATCTTGATGCTTCTGTAACCTGATCTTGAGACACTTCTAGGACAAGCTACCATCATATTCGTAAGAGCGATCATCGCGTCAAAGAGCGGGCTGCGCTGACCATCAGGATGCGCGCGTACCACTGGTGCAGATTTTCAATCCATCCGGGCATTGGTCCCTTGTCGCCCTCAACCTTGCGATCACTAGGGAAGAAACAGCTCTTGAGTGTCAAACGCGCCACTTGAGCCTCCTTGTCGATAGTGGCGCCGATGGCAAAAAGACCATCTGAAGCCCGCGGACCCTGATTTCGGGGAGAGTCACCGCAGCGAACCGTGATCTCAGTCGGCGTGCGCTCGACAACCTCAAAATGGTCCGTTAAGATGGTGCCAGGCTCAAAGTTTGAGGCGGCGATCTGGTCTGGTGTCCATAGGTGTGAAGATGTGTCGGTGCCAAAGTACTTGCGATGAAGGTATCGTCGCTGGATCGAGTAGCCTGTATGTACTGTTGTCAGCAAAAGAGAGTCATGTCACATCATCGCTAGCCTTACTTGTAGAGGTGAGAATATTGATGAGGGGCATTGGCAGCTAAGAACAGAAACGGAACGAAATAATAAACCAAAGGAAAATAGGACTCACCCCAGCCTTTCCAGACGGCGCGGCAAAACTCGAGGGCCAAATCGCCCTCCTTCTGCAGCAGTTCCGGGCGTATGCGGTTCAGGGGGATCGTCTTGACGCAGACATCGTTGGTGGCGGCATTCCGATGCAGATTGTACTTCTTGAACGTGCTGGAGCTGTACAGCGCGTCGTTGAGCGGAATTGGCGCAATGATGCTTGTCGACAGGCGGACGTAGCCTAGTGCTGCCGCCGTGCCGAGTGTTACCCCAAGGCTGGCCTTGCGGATGATGCCCATGGTGTGCGTTGTGTAAGATACGTGAGATGAGCGTACTTTGTAAGGGTGTTGGCTGACGAAGCTATCGTTGTAGACTCAAAATCGCTCGTTGAACGACGCGTAGAGCGTTGCTAGAGATGAACACTGGAAGAGGTAAAGAAGGCGTGTTTGAGTTTTCTTCGGCCCTGTGTGGCTCGCACTATCTGCACATACTTGTAGCAACGAGCTCGAATCTTAGCGTCATCAGCTTCTGGCCCACCGGCGCTCTCCATCTCAGTAGGTATAATGCTTCATTAGAAGCCTCAGTCGATCTCCGCATAGCATGTCCAACCACGGCAGTGTATTGCGAATCAAGTAGAAAATGCCTCTAAGACAGGATGAGGCAAGCTGTATATGTTAGACGGCGGCAGCCCAGCTGGACTAGAAGGCTGCACATGTCAAGACTCTGCAGTGCAAATAAAACAGTTCATTCTACAACAGGGCATTGGCCTTTTGAATCGGGGCCAAGTGGTCATCGGAATAGACAAAGTAACACATGAGACAGTCTTAAAAATTGGCTCATGGAGTGGTCTCTTCAATAGAGAGGAGCGGCGTTGTCAATGCGAGGCAACTGGTTTGTTCAAGAGCTTTGAGTCAAAACCTGGGGCATTGGGCTTACTTCCATACTGCAATGTTAGACAAGAGTTTTCTCTTCATATGAGGGTGCGACACCGCTGCGTCCATTGAGAAGCACAGTTGGGCAGCCAATATTGAACCTATCCATCTCTAAGAGCCCAGTAGGATTCAACTAGATACAGACTCGCAGTTTCCGACAGAATGACAATTCCAGTAGTGGCCAATGAATCCAATCATGTTAGGGTAAGCAAGGTCAACGAAAGTTAAGCGTCATGATCTACACTACTGAAGCCAGATTTACTTTGGAGATTGGGAGATAGAGCATCAAGTCCCCATCCGCTCTTGACTCATAGTGCCTTTTTCTATATCAAAGCCAATTACCATGCATTTTATACATCTTCTGATACGGACATGCACTCAAAGTCGGAAATTGTCAGTTTAGATGATCACTGGCAATTTTCTGGCCATGGAAATGGAGTGACTAGTGGATCCTACTGAGCGTGTTCATCACACATGATACTCTGAGCTGTGCGGCACCAGATCAGAATCTAGAGAAATCTATTTCCTCTCCTTGCCACTGGATGCCCATGGGACAGCATGAGAGGCATCGGGGAAGCTTTTGGGTTATTCCTGGACACAACCTGACTGTCACCAGAGTTTTTGACAGCTCGACACACATGGAAATACATGAATTCAATACTACGGGTAGATAGTATTGCCCGCTTTCTCGCTCAGCTGTCTTTGCAAAGCTATAATGTCTGAAATCAGAGCAGATGGGGCGCGGGCATGGAGACGAGCACTCTAAAACGGTCTTTATCAGCGCCTCTATATCAAGGAAGAATTGAGACATAATGCGGTGGCTTTTTCATCGTTACGAGGTAAACCGGATCACCACTGCCGGCGATTGTGACGCCGTTGAGTGGGTGCGTCACAAGTGCCAAGAGGTTGTGGCAGAATGACAGCTTCAGACCCATTGCGGAGTTTGCTTGGCAGGTTGCACTGAATTTAAAAGGAGTCTAGAGAAATAGTACATGATTCAGATGCCGAGCTGAAGCCGTGTGCGCGCTTGATGAATGGTGAGTTCCTGCAACGCAGTTGAAAGACAACTGGGCATGCTGAGGCGACCTTAGTGCAAAGGCTTGGTGTAGAGGCCATGCCTGGCGCGAAACGACGACTTCGTACGCGTTCATGCTGTCCTCTTCAATTGTCGAACCATTAGTTGACTTTGAGACTTGTAATATACCGATTTAGCGCAGCGATGTCGACTTATCTTCATTCTTATATCCGGATCTTCGAAAAGCCTATTCGTATCTATTTCATTGATCTAGCTCGTAATCTGCTCCGATACAATGCTGTGACTTCGGATGTCGGGTTTGTATTGAGTGCCTCATTTCCGTTCAACTCTCACGAATCCGCACTTGGGCCAGGCACAAAACCAACTGGTGATACGGAGCGGTCCTGGTCCTAACTAGCAAAAGATCCGGCGACGATTGCCACGCCCAGTCTTAGTGCCCGGAAAGCTTGACCGACCAACACTAGTTCTGGCCAACGGGAAGCAAACTGCCCCCAAAGGTCGGCATAGCCGTGCCGTAGCGTCGTACTCCCAGCCCTGTTATGATTCGGTCTTTGGCCACTAGTGCCAGATATGAACCGCAGACTTCTCTTTCTGATAGAAATGGCAAGGATGGATTCGAGGTTGATGATAGATAACCAGCATCGAGCTCTTATTACTCGAAGCCGAAAAGAGAGGACTGTTTCAAAGAGATGTCGACTATCGACAGTTGAAGGCAGGATTATCGAAGGATCTGGCGTAATATTTGCGAAGCATTCGTGAGCAACAGGAAGATAGCAGATACTACGTGTGACAAGGTCTGTTTTTTTCGTACGGAAATGTCTTCATAGGTATCAATTCTCCACCCCGCATTTATCAATGACTAGAAGTAGGAATTTACCCGTTCTCCAATCTCCCTCCCTATGGGGCAGTCATCGGGAATGGCGAGCCGGTGGCCTTCTCGCAAATAGACCTTCTCGCTAAGGGAAGGGCAGCGCGGGTGGCGCATCAAGATAAGCCTACCGACCGTTTGAAGGTAGTATTACCAACTACAGTCCCCTTGAGGTCGCGTGAGATGGCGCACAAAAGATCGCAACTAAGAAAAGTTAGTAGACAGGGCTGCTCCAGTATCGTATCTGGCTGGTCTTATCTGGAGGAGTAGAAACGGGAATGGATGGCTCGATGTTTAAAAGGGACTGCTCCCCACTGACTCAAACCCAGCAAGAAAAAAAAAGTTGTGCACCTTGCATCTTTTTTCCCTTTACTCGAGGCTTCCACGGCCCAGAGATTCTTGCCAATGGAGCACGATCCTGAACTCGGTCACAAGGAGCCTGGCCAGGCTGCCAACGAGAAAGATGCCGCGGCCGTTGTATCTGACGACAACTCAATCGAGTCGGTCCCTGCAGCAACAGGGAGCGGATTGCTGTTCCGATTGCGCCAATTCGAGGCTCAGATGGACAAGAAACTTGGCATTGAGTCCGAGGCCATCGTCCGCAAACAGGAGGAAGACAAGAAGCCGGTTCCATGGTTAGAGCAGTTGACAATGGCCCTGCTATGGGCGAGCGGAACGATGAACACGTCTTGCTTTGCAACGGGCTTCCTGGGTGCTGAATTCGGATTGAGCCTGAAGCAGTCTATTCTCGTCACGATCTTTGCCTCAATTATGGGCGGTGCGATTACCGGATACTGTGCAACTTTCGGAGCGGCGACTGGACTGCGACAGATCAGCGTCAGCCGATACAGCTTCGGCTGGTGGCCGAACAAGCTCATTGCGCTGCTCAACAGCATCCAGCAGATGGGCTGGGCGGCAGTGTCTTGTATCACGGGCGGCCTCGCCCTGACGGCCGTGTCTGACGGCCATGTCTCACTGATTCTCGGAATCGTCATTTTGGCGGTGGTGGCGCTGGCGATCTCCTTCGTTGGCTTGAACGCTATCCTGGTGTACGAACGGTATGCCTGGATCATCTTTTTCGTCATCTTCATGATCATTTTTGGCGAGACCGGTCGCTTTGCGGACAATACTTCACCACCGGCGGCCACCGGGACCACGCTGAGCGGTGCCATCCTCAGTCTGCTGGCCATCGTCTACGGCTCGAGTGCTTCTTGGTGCACAATGGTCAGCGACTACTATGTCCACTATCCGGCAAATGTCAGCCGAGTCAAGGTCTTCCTGATGACGACTTTTGGAATCGCGATCCCGACGTCCATCGGTATGGTTGCCGGTTGCGTTGTTGCCTCCGGTTTCAAAAACAAGCCCGAATGGAGCGACGCCTATGACCAAGGCCTGGGCTACCTGATTCAGGACATGTTGTATCCGCGAGGGTTTGCAAAGTTTCTACTTACTTTGTTAGTCCTATCCGGCATCAACACCAACGTCATTAGCATCTATAGCGCTGCCATATCTTTCCAGCAGCTTGCACGGCCGTTTGCGGCCATCCCTCGCTTCATCTGGACAATCTTCTGCTTCCTTTGCATTCTTGCCTTGGCTCTTGGCGGCCGAGAGCAGTTGAACGCCTACCTGCAGAACTTCTTGAGTCTTCTCGGATACTGGTGCACCAGCTATGCCATTATTCTCTTCCAGGAGCATTTCATCTTTCGAAAGGGCAACTTCGCCAACTACGATCTGGAGAACTGGAACAACCCCGCAAAGCTGCCTCTTGGCATTGGAGCCTCGGTCGCTTTTGGGCTCGGGATTGTGGCCTGGGTCATGGGAATGGATGAGACATGGTTTGTCGGACCACTTGCGAAGACTATCGGAGAGAATGGTGGTGATGTTGCGAATGAGTTTACGTTTGTGGTTACGGCATTGACCTATTTGCCGGCGAGATACCTGGAACTGAAGCACTTTGGCCGGTAGAGTAGCCGGTAGAAAGATGAAAGACTGCATGTTTTCAGTAAACGCATCACGATATAGCGAGAGATACATTATGCGTAGTCAGCATAAGGACCAAATCTCTCAATTCACCGCACTGAATTCTATGGATAGTCATGCCTTGAACGCCAGAGCTCATCCGCTGGCGCCGCCAGAGCACGACACCCCGATGCTACTGGGCGTGTTTGCACACTGAAATACGGCCGAGCCGCTTGGAGGCTTGACTGTAATGTTGCTCAATGTTAAGCCGCATGACCCGGCAGCTGGACAGTTGAGGTTTGCAACATTAGGCGAATAGTGCGTGCTCGTTGTTCCCGAGAAGTTTCTCACCACTACGCCCTTGATTTGCGCGGTGCTGGGACTGGTGCTGCAATACGACGCATCCTCGCCATAGCAGCTTTGAACCTGGAAAGCATAGTCGGTGTTCTTCAGTACAAAGTTCTCAAACGTCACGTTGGACACAACAGCTGTGCCGTGTTTTGGCGGGCCGGGATAAAGCTTGAGGCCTGCAGCCTTGGCAGAGTTGATCATGGTCGCTCCGCTAACGAAACAGTTCTGAACTGTGTCTGTTGTCCCGGCACCGCTTCCCAGGCTTCCGACGGAAATGCCGTGGCTACCTGTGCAGGTGATGTTGGTGACTGTTGCGAAGCTACTGCCTGGCTTGAAAGCTACGCAATCATCATCGTTTGTGACTGTGGCCCCGTTGATGCTCACGTAGGTCGACTGTCCGATGTCCCAGCCGTCGGTGTTGTGTGCGACATTGGAACTGTTGCTCACGGCGTACAGAGTGATATCGGAATAAGTAACATTGGTCGAGCCGCCGGTGACTGAATGGAAGACGTTTGGAGCGCTTTGGAAGTAGAGGTTACGGATGTTGACGTTCTTGGAATTGTTGATGTAGAAGAGCGTCGGTCGTCGATAGGAAGAATTCGCTGCGAAGACGTCCCAGGCGGCTTGGCCATTTCCATCGATGATGCCGTTTCCCGTGTTTGAATAGATATTCGCGCCATTGATGCCATCCATCAGAAAGATGGCTCGGAGACCTTCCCAGTAGTTGGTGTCAGACGTGGCCTGCAGCGTTCCTTCGATTTGCAGTGTGCATCCAGAGCAGTCCTTGAAGCTCAGAGCCGTGTTGACGTGGTAGGTCGTAGACGCAGGGATAACAATAACCCCGGAAGAGCAACTGGCAATTGCGGATTGGATTGCGGGAGTATCATCAATAGCAGTTGAACGTCCTGCTATTGGCGTACATGTCGAAGCTCTCCTGAGGACCCTCGTTGGAGGTCGCGTCACAGCCATCGCGGCGACGTTGGCCACCATGACCACAACAAGGAGAAATACGCCATTGAACATGGTAAAAGGGGGTAGTGTCAGCACTTCTCTCTATATCGACTGTAAAAGCGGCTCTGTCACCAGCAAGGGCTAGTGTTGGGGCATAGGTCATCCATCTTAGTATATATATCTGTCGAAGTAGGTTATACGGCACGCTTCATGTGGACATTCACCCAATACGACGTACAATTTGAGCCGGCGCCAATACTATGATAGTGTTCCATTGCATCCTGTAGCCTACGTCAAACTGCAATTGCCCACAAGGTATGCGACATTGGTCTGTGGTTTGCAATGCAATTGGCGCGGCAAAGCTTCACAAACCTGGATAGACCACAAAGGCGAGGGCCCTTGTCACCTACCATTGAATTCCTTCTAGGCATCATATACAGAGATCACTTCCATGAATGGGCCTGTACCCAATCTGAAGAGACCATTGCATCAGGCATCAAGTACCTACATGGGCCCTGAACGAATCTGATGCTCCCCTACGTGATGACGGTCTTCCGCCGTGGAACAAGGGCATCATCCACTTAACTTGACAGATCAATGAAGAGTAAGGCATGCAGAAAAATCGAGTTTATGACAGTCAATGAATGTATTCGAGCTATGATATGAGAGCCAAAAGAGCTTATTGTTCTCATACAGCATCATTCATGATGTCTTCAGCCCTCATGACCGTTTCGTGCCTAGCTACTCAACACGGCTCTGGCGCTTTATGAGGCGGCTGGAACACAATCTATATCCAACAGGCTCTCGTTCATGTTGGTGCAAATCCACAGAGGAGTTGTGCCACTCGGGTTAGCCACCGAAATGTTATAGGCAGCGATATTGACGCATTTCTGTAGCGCTATGTGTCAGATCATAGTAGTCCAATTGTGCTTCACTTTTTGACTTACATCTGTGGATGAGCATGTCAGAGTCCCGACTTCAGGATCATACTTTTTCGAAGTCGTCCCCCACATGTTCTTGAATACGACGTCACTGATCGTCATATTTGAAGGATATTTGTCGCAGATAGTCTGGTTACTCTGGCCATAGCATTGGTTGATCTCGATAGCCCAGTCGTTGTTGTTGTTGTAGAAGGTGTCATAAGTGACGTTTTTGACGTACCCGGCTCCTCCGCCTCCAGAGAGACCCGGCTCAAAGGGAGTATCAGTGCCTGGCCACACCTTGATACGAGCTCCATCGCTAGCGTTGGACATTGAGATGTTGTAGACATAGATATTCTCGACGATATCGTATTCTGCCGGATACTGGCCCAAAGAACCAACTGAGATTCCATGGGAGCCGTTGCATTGCATGCCCTGCACGATGATGTTGGTACTGTTGGGCTTGAAAGAAACACAGTCATCGCTGTTATTCACGTAGGAATCTTGAATAACGATTGAGTCGCTTCGGAACGTGTCCCACCCGTCACCATTCTTGGCAGGATTCTGGTTCTCACTCTTGACTGCGATATCGATATCGCTGACTAGAATGTCACTGCTATTGGCGATAAGATTGAACCACTGGATCACATTAGCAAGTGTTCGAATTTAAGAGCAAAGAGATACTTGCATCGGGCGAATTCCGCATCCTCAGCCCTGTGACTGATCCGTGCTCAAGTCCATCCAAAACGAGCAGAATGGGACGCAATAAAGTCGGCTCGACTGCAAATTGATCATACCAGGCTTGACCGTTTCCATCAATCAAGCCCAGTCCCCCACCGTAGATATTGACATCTCTCCCTCCAAAGCGCCAGAAGGCAGACGAGTTCTGGAAGTCGTACTTGAACGAGTTCTTCACCCAGAAGTCAATGTCGTTTGTGAATTTGATGGTGCCGGTGATAGCTACGTCCACAGCTTCAAGGAATGTGAGATCAAGCGGAGAGCCAATAGTATACTCCTCGTTCAACACCACAGTGCCGCCCTTGTTACACCTCTTGAAAGCTTTGAGAATCGCAGGTGCGTCGTTGCCATTACAGCTCGCGACATAACATGTCTTGTGGCGTTTTGGAGAATGAGGAAATGCATGTCCTGGCGTCTTCGGTCCCCATTGAAGGTTCGGTCTCTCAACCAAAGACTTGTGAGCATCAATTGGTTCCAGAAAGGCCAGAATAGCCACACCAAGTGCTAGTTTGCTGTGAATAGTCATTGTGCTTCCCTTTCTCCGCCACAAACCAACAGCGGTGAGTCAAGTCAGAATGAGCTGAAGATACTGCCATGAGCACACTTTCAAAGGCTGATAGGTCATTTTTGTACAGCTATTTCATTTCATCCGGCCAATTTGCCTATTATAGTCGGATCGCAAACGGTAAAAGAATGAAACTATCACTGTGCTTCCTTCTGATTAGAGCTGCTCAACTTCGCTCGCCACTTGCTTCGTGCTATTTTCGTATGCAGACAAGCGAGTCCCGAAACCGAGGGAAGAAGAAAAAAGGCGTCCTGAACGATGGAAATATTCCGCCAATGGCAAATGATCACGACCATAAGAATCATCCCCGCAAGGGACGCGTATCCTGGGTCCGGATGCGGGGGAGGCCTCTGCTTCTCCAAGGGCTCCCCACGGGGTATTCGCAGCCCAAACCCGACTGGTAGTCAGATTACCAGGCAGGCCAGGATATTATTGCCTAAGTCAATAGTCCTCTCGACTCTTGAATGGAGCGGCTAGCAGACGAGCCAATGCAGCTGCGAATATGCTTATCCGAACGAATGAGATCGTGATATGGTATGAAGGGCGATGATCATGTCCAGTAAAACTGTACAAGGGTGAATTTACTCGGAATTGCTCTCGATACTACTACAAATATGGAAATACCATCTCTTGAATGTTACATACAAGATATCGATCTAGAGCGATACTTTACGCGTGTTCGGGGTAACTATGGCCGAGAGAAACCGACCACGGTCGCCCAGAGCTGACGATTGTGCTGCGGTGAGGCACACCCTCTCAACTTATGCCGCTACTACTTCAGTCTATTGGGCGAAAGATAATGTGAATCATAGACAATTAGAGCGATATACTTCAAGATGGCATCCCTCTGGTCCTATCCCGAAACATTGGGAGGTGTTGTTAGTATATTCGAAGACGATTTGCATAATGACGATGACGAAAAAGGGAGTTCGTGATATTCGCTAAGCAAATGCTGAATAGACCGAATCCATTGTATAAGAACATGTTCTATGTGTGTATCTCAAACTAGAGTAGCAACGAGGTATCGCAGCCACTGTTACTCCCAGTCAAGCGGCCTTCTGCAGCTGAAGATAGCATTGCATGCCTCCGTCTCAACTGTGATCTCTTGGAATAAAGACGGTTGGCGTAACCCACTAGTATGCCGGCCATCGCTCTTCTATTGGAGTTGCTGAAAAATGCATGTCTACCACCGTCGAGATAACGAAATACCAACAGCAGCTCTCACCGTGGGCTGCCTGGATCAAGTATTATTCTATTGCCTTATCAATTCATCTTCCGGATTTTAGCTTTTGTATTAAAGGTGCTTTCATATATTGGAGTTTTGATTACCTTGTTTCCATGGAAAAAGCTGCCGCGCTTGTAGTGGTTAAAGATCGAGGTTACGACAGTGTCAGGTGTTCACGGGCTCGGAGGCCATTTACCGACGTACATGATGGAAGGATCCTAAAAACCGTAAATACAGTAGTGGAATCTCCCTAGTTGTAAGAAGTACATGAAAGTTGTATTATTTGGTAGTATTGGTCTGGTTTTTATATGAATGAGTTCGGGGTTTGTGAAGTCCGTCCTCCTACAGTAGACTTGAAATCCGTACTTCGTGTTTCTGGCAGTATTTGGTGCCTTCTATACTGGTAAAGTGTCTTTTTGGGGGGGCCTTTTGCTCGAAAAAAAGAAAAAAAAAAAGGGTCAGTTGTTTGCGCGATGGAACACCCTGCATGAAACCGGTCAAGTGGCGTATAAAAACATGACTGTGAGCGGGTGTTGGGCTATTGCCAGTCGGACCTTATTCGCTTGAGTTGATCTGGCATGCCTTTTGCCTTCTCTCTTCCATCATTCACTTCTTTAAACTCACTTCTTTGAGATTGAAGAACGCACAGTAAAGGAGACAGCTTCAACCGGTTTGCAAAATGGCGTCCAAGAAGAGGATCTATAATTGGTAAGTTGTCACGTAACCGCAGACTGGACACAGAGTAGAACAGAAGATCTGATATCAATTGTTAGGTACATATCCATGGTAGCGGCCATGTGCATGGTTCTCTATGGCTATGATGCATCGGTCTACAACTCTGTCCAAGGCTCGGATAACTGGCTGGCGTATTTTGATCTCGACACCGTAGGTGACTTGGTGAAGCAATTGATGGCCTAGAAAGTTACTGATGGATAGCACAGGATCGGGACACTTACATGATTGGCTTTATCAACACGACATACACGATTGGAGCAATTATTGCGGGCTTTTTCCTCGGTGGCCCTATTGTTCGTCTTGTTGCGCCGTTCTAGATAGCGAGACGTTTACTGACACTTGTAATAGGCAGATTTTGTAGGGCGAAGATGGGGCATGTGGATTGGCTGTTTTACTACTGTCATTGCGACCTTTATGCAAACATTCGCTCCCCGACACACCTTAGGCTGCTTCATCGCCGGCCGCGTTCTCGTCGGCCTTGGGCAAGGTATCGCTTTGACGGCTGGACCGGTCTACATCGGCGAAATGGCTCCTCCCCAAATTCGTGGCCTCATCATGGCTTTCTGGCAACTCTTCTATTCTGTTGGCTCCTTTATTGCCTACTGGATCAACTACGCCTGCTCTCTTCACCGCAGCTCGTTGGGCGAGTGGGACTGGAAGATGGTTGTTATTTTCCAGATGATGGTGCCGATCATCATCATGATCCTGTTGCCGTTCCAGCCTGAATCGCCCCGCTGGCACATTCAGCGACATGGCAATATCGAGGCTGCCAAGGCCGCTCTTCGCAAGATTCGAGATACCGAACAGGAGGTTGATGATGAGGTCTTGGCAATTCGGGAAGCCCTCGAGTACGAGAAAGAAGCCATCAGCAACAACTACACTGCCCTGTTCAAAGACGCTTCGATCCGCAAGCGACTTTACCTTGCATTCATCATCAACGTGGGACAGCAGCTTAGTGGCCAAGGCACACTCAACACATATTCCACAGCGATTTACAAGAAAGTGTGGACGTCGACTCAAACCATCAACCTTATCAATGCATTAAATGCAACCTTTGGTATCTTGTGCGCGTTATGATTCTTATTTTGTCTCTGAATTTGACATCTAACCGGGACAGGTTCACACTGAACGCGACATGGACAGCTGACCGCTTTGGTCGCCGGTGGCTGTTTATTATCGGCGGCATTGGCATGGGCCTCTGCATGTGTAAGTCTCTCTCTCACAAGAGACCTCAAAAATGCCATGATACTAATAGCAACAGTGTTGGTTCCTGTAATCGGCCAAACTACTCCAGACATTAACGGCACCAAGACGAAGCCAGTTGGCATCTCCATCGTGTTTCTGCTGTTCCTGTTCATTTTCTTCTATAAGCCGTCTTGGGGTGCAACCACTTGGATTTGGACTTCGGAAATTTTCAGGTATGTGTAACGTACATGTATCAGGTACCAATCCGGTTGTGCTAACAGCCTTTTCCCAGCATGAATGTTCGTGCTCAGGCAATTGGCATGTGCAGTCAAATGCAAAACGTCGCCAATACCGTCTTTCAGCAATTCTTCCCTACATTCCTGAAGAACGAGGGCCTGAAATGTCTTTACTTCTTCATGGCAACCAACTTCTTGCTGGTTGTGTTTGTCTGGTTCTTCATCCCCGAGACGAAGCAGGTTCCGCTGGAGGAGATTGACGTTCTCTTCGGCGGTGCTAACCATGTGGATAAGGGGGCTCAGATACTTGGCGCTCCAGAGACACAGGGCAAAGAGCTCCATGTAGTTCGGCAGCTCGAGGAGAACAATGTTGCAACGGCCTAGGTGCGGATGGTCACGTTGGGGATCATGGAGATTTCTGCTCCTTGATGCTCTTTATTGTGCCTGGATGATGACAAGGTGGCCTCTAAGAGGACTCCGACAGTAACCTGCATCACCTCAGCTTGTGCCCGCTATCAAGAGCACAGAATGCTCGATCCCTTTGCTAGGTGAGCAAAGTGTAACTTAATTCCAGCTGTTTATTCGTTATCGATGCCGAATTCCTTCTCCATCTCGATAAAGCATATGTCATCGGGTAGCTCCAGATTGCTGAACCTCGCTCGAGGAAAGGCCGTCGTTTCGCCCGTCTTCCGATAGCCTCGGCGCATATACCACTCAATCAGCGCCTTGCGCGTTGAAAGTGCGTTAAGCGAGAATCTTTCTGCATTCCAAGTCCGGCGACAGTAATCCTCAGCATAGGCCAGAAGAAGGCGACCAACGCCGTTCTGCTGGAATCGTTGGTCAACTGCTATCATAGACAGCCGACCGCAGTTGTTGTCACGCTTCGCGACCTCGATGGAAGCAACAAGTGTATTTGCTTCGTCCAGGGCCATGAGAATCACATTATTCGGATTGACAATCTTGGGCAGAACTTCCTCGACGCCTATCTGGAAACTCGACGCCAGTTCTGCATTTCCGGTCCAACCTGGCCTGCTGTCTTCGGCGCGAAATGCGGACTGAACGAGTTGCTGAAGTTGCCCCGCGTCTTCTGGAGTTGCTAGACGGAATTGGAGGTTTGGGGTTGCCATCGTTGAAGTGAGACGGTGTAGCTGGTTTGAACTTAACGGTTGCTGGGAATTATAATTTGATCCAGGACAGGTAATGAGATCAGGAAAAATTTACTGTAGTAAAACTCGTCATCGTCTTTAAATGCCATTTGCTCTCCATAACGTTCACGGGTACCAAACAACACACATGTAGTTGGCCTCGTCCTTCCAGCTAAATTTGCAGACTTGTCAAAGCAAGGGCGCTAATGACACAGCGAGATTTCTTTCACCGGCCTATATAAATTAGCCTCATTGGGACGTCTCTCCTGGAATGCTCAAGCTGTGTCAGTAGAGGACATTATCAAAGGCGCAAAGAACGTTCGATATATATGCCCTTAACGAACAACGACGCCCTTGGCCGATACCAAGAGTAATTATCTTGCCATTCATCCCTGCCATTGTCCTCCGTTCGCGTGTAATATCTGACTTCTAATAATCGCGCGCCCTTGGAGCGCAAACCGCTTGCAGACGCTCTCTTCAGATGGCCATCGACCGCCAATCACTTCGCTGCAGAAGGTTCCATGTTGTCCAAGCTTCTTTTCGTCTTATATCGCTTTTCGGAACAAAAATGCCGGCCAAAGCCTCTCCGCTCATCTTTCCTTGTGCTAGACCTTCCGTCTCCCCGCTGGCTAATTAACAAGCCGACCAGACGCGATGTTGGGACTCAGGTCGGGAGGCGCTTAACTCCCCGAGACAAGCAATGCTGGTAGGCAGTGCTTGCGACACAACTTTATGTTATAAGCAGTGAAGAAGGCTGAACCGCACTGTTTTTCTCCTCTCAAGGTACATTTGACAGTTTGGAAATACTCCAGGATTTTCATTTCCGCAGGTGTCAGTTCTTTTTCCAGGTTGCATTCGTTCCCGATAACCCAACATGCTTGGCAAGATTGCTCTTGAAGAGTGCTGGACAATTCCAGAGGAGTTGGCGAACAATGACCCCGGCAAGTTTGTTGCAGCTGGGACGGGCTCTCGCTTGACCAACGAGCTGCTGGATATTCACGATTCGCGCCTCAAGCAGATGGACGAGAATGATGTGGATTTTATGATTCTCTCATTCAACTCTCCCGGCTGCCAGGGCATCGCGAACAAGGCCCAAGCCGAGGCACAGGCGACATTAGCAAACGACCGCATGGAAGCCGAGGTGATGAAGGCACCAAACCGCTTTGCAGCGTTTGCCGCACTGAGTATGCATGACCCGGCACAAGCAGCAGCAGAGCTTCGGCGATGCATGACGGAGATGAAGGGCTTCGTCGGGGTTCTGCTGAACGATTACCAAAGTTGCGGAGAGGATGGTAACGGCATGCTCTACTATGATCAGCCAGAGTATGATGTATTCTGGCAAGCTGCAAACGACCTGGAGGCTCCTGTGTACATGCATCCACGGCCTTCCAACAAGCTCATCCACAAGCTGATGTGGGACGGCCGCCCGTGGCTTGACTTTTCTGCACTGGGGTATGCTGACCGTCTCAACATGCATATCCTGGGCATCGTCACAAACGGTATTCTGGATCGATTCCCAAAAGTCAAGCTAATCTTCGGACACATGGGCGAGCATATGTAAGTGCATCTTTGTGACCCTTCGTCGCCTTGTTCTATGTGATCTTGAAGCTTACACCGCTCAAGCCCGTATGACATCTATCGGATTGACCATAAGCTTGATCGCAGCCGCTTCCCCAACATGCCGATGAGGAAGGATAAGCTTGTGCGTGATTACTTTGGCGAGCAGCTCTTCATCACGACATCGGGTCATTTCTCAACTCCTGCGCTAATGTGCGCTATGGGCGAAGTCGGGGTGCAGTCCATCATGTTTTCCATCGACTACCCTTTCGAGAGCATTCCGAACGCTTGTGGTACGTATATACCAACACTCTCAATGCACTTGTTGCTTGGAGCTTCTAACGACGCGCGATACAGCTTGGTGGGACGAGCACGTCTCTGCCAGCGTCAATCACCACGACTACACCAACATGGGTCGCAACAATGTGCTTCGGATTATTCCAAGACTGACAGAAGAGCCGCACAATCTCAGGACCATGACCCCACGAGAATGCGGAGTAGGAGGTCTGGCTGCGAAACAAGGCGAAGTGTGCTATGGTTTGTACAATAAATCGTGGAACAAGCGAGAGATCAAGATCGTGCCTTCGTAAGCGAATGTTGTATAGGACAGGATAGCCATAGAACTGATGCTCCGAATGGCAACTACATATATTCTCGGGAAACAAGCTCTACGCAGTTCTTACAGTTATCACAGATGGACACAATCTGTTCATGGTATGATCTTACATCAGAATGTTTAACGAGTTTCGAGTGATTATTATTATCAAACAGTAATAATTAATAGTTGGCGAACTAATATGCCAAGCAACCAATACCTAAAGCGGTGAACCAAACAGGTACCTACAGGTCCTGGTGAAAAGTCGGACTGCCAAGGCGTTTCCGCCATCCTGCGCCATAATAGTAGAGGGGAATAAGAGGCAGGAAGAAGAAAAAGGTGATCATCGCCAGCGTGATCCATGCATCCTCAATGCCAATCTGGTTTGCGAAAGGAATGGCGTAGAATCCGATGGTAAAGCTGTACACTTGTCTCCCAAAGTTGATCAAGGAACCGAGCTCAGGAGATTGGGGTTTATAACACTAGAGGCATGACATGGTCAGCCCAACATGATAAATGCTGAAACAAGGACGAGATTGGGATAGTTGTTACTCACCTCTGCTGTGTATGTATACACTCCAGTAGTCATGACCTGCAGTCCAAAACTGGCAATGGCAATTCCAAAAGCAACTCCAATCCAGTGCGTCTTGTTCTGAAGACAGACCCCCTCAATGATAATCCCAAGAGGCGTGAGTAGCACAGAGGGGATGATACCCAGCAGTCGGTCCTCGGGGCAACGTTCGCCACCGCGCTTGAGTGCTCGTCTTTCACTGATCCAATCGGATACGCCTCCAGCAAATAACTCGCCAATGAGACTGCCAACCGTGATTGGAATACCCAACAGGAGACCTGTTTGCTGAGGCTCGAAGTGGTAAATCTGCCGGAAGAGGTTCGCGCTGGTGATGATGAACAGAATGCTGCCGTAGGCAAAGCACAGCGAGTAGCACCAGGTAGGCAATACGACGCTTGGATACATCATCATCTGAAACGGTCGGAAGAAATCTATGGGGCGCACTCGCCGCGTGGGATGCGCGCGTCGCTTCATAAGCATGTTAGACATCCATGACTGGGATGGACGCGCCACAGCCGCAGGCGTACGGGAATAGAGCGTTTCCGGGACGGTGAAGATGAAGATGATGAGGATGCCGCCCGTAATGATAGACGGAACGTAGAAGCACCAGTGCCAGCTCAAGTTCTTCTCGATGTACCCGCCGATGAGTGGTGCGATATGGCCACCGGTCAAGAAGCTGATTGTATAGATGCCCATGTAGAAGCCTCTTTCGTGGGCAAAGTACATGTCGCAAACAGTGGCGCTTCCCAGGCCCAGAGGCACACCCCCGAAGAATCCATTGAGACATCGGAGGGCGATGAGGGTCCCGTAATTCTTGGCTGCTCCCGAAGCGCCGCACATCGCAACGGCGACGGCGACAGTTCCGATGTAGACTGGACGGCGACCATAGACGTTGGCAATGGGATTCCAAAAGATGGCGGATATGCCGGCGAGTAGGATGAAAGTGCTCGTCACGTAGGCGGTTGTCACCAGATCTTTATGGAGGAAAAGTGAAAGAGGCACAAAAGCCGGGGTCTATATCACGGCGGCTGTTAATGAAGCTCATGATCTGATCGAGGGAAAGAACACGCACAATTAAAGATGCACTGAACAAAGCAAGAAATGAGAAGAGTGACACCTCGGCGAGGACCATCAGTTTTAACCAGCGGTTCCAATTGAGAGGATCCTTTGGGTCGTCTGTCGGCTGCGGCGACAGAGGCAGACCGCGAGGGTCCATCTTCACCGGGTCACGAGTATCTTCATCGTGCTTCACAGTGCCACTGTTCTGTGACCGATCCTCGGCGGCAGATGCCTCCGCTTTGTCCGACATTGTTATTGTTTGTTATTGTTGTCGGCTTAGATATAATGACAGGGCGGGGGAAAAAAACGGATGAGTGGGAAGAACAGGTAGGTCAAAGAACCATTGGGCTATTCATCATGGTGATGAGGCCTGGGCATTCTTTACCTCCAAGGTCGTCCTTTCTGTAACGTTGCTAGACGTGGTATTTATTAAACGCAGGCCTTGGGATGAATCCCGGGATGGTGGCAGTGATGGCGGACGGGTCATCGGGGGGAGTTTAGATTCATCCCCCACATCAGCTCCAGACGCCACAATTGCTACGGCAAAGCGATACAGAGTATGAGATTGAGGAGGTCATGCATTAACGGCTATAGTTCATCAGCTAGCGGATGCCGGACTGTGGGGTAAGAATGTCACCGAATAGGAGAGTTCGCTTCAGCGAGGTAGAACACGATGCTCAATCTGATATTTCCGTGCTGGATCGAGGCAGCAGAGACAATCTTGAGAAGCCAAGTCCTCCGAACTAAGCGAGAGATTTAAGGTTGCTAATGTATTGGATAATATATCACATAACCAAGAATACTGCTCATGCATCATATAGCAGAAGCTATGTCAACTAATCAACGACTGAATTACTGTAACTCGGCAGTATAAAACACCACTCTCCGCTTGCATGCCCGGCCAGCGGAGGAATAAGATTATCTTATTAATCGATATAGACAAGGGAAGTTATCCGGGGATCCCGCTTAGAGCCGGTGGAGTTTGCATCAGCGACTCAGCCCCCGGATTGTCGACGCCCCATGACCACGTGGATGAGCCTAGGCTTGAATGAAGCTCCAGTTGGGAGCCCAGATCCATCGTCAGATCTTGGGTGGTGTCCCAGAGAGACCAAAGGTCAACTGCACCGGCTTCCATCGCTTCGTCTGCTCCCATTGTTGGGCAGTTGCTGTACATCGTAGCTTCTGCTGTCCCGCGATTGCTTCCTGTCATGGCGGTTGGAGGTGTACTGTAACGCTCAAGAGACCTTCGTCTGTCTTCCGGCATCGTTCTATCTAGTAGTCCAAGTAACTGCTGCAAGAATGCATAAGCTCTCTGTGCGCAGAGGTGGTTGACGGACATCTGTCGAATCATGTTTACGGCCTGGTCGAGATGCATCAGTGCGCTTCGGTCGTCCTGAAAGTCAGGATCAACGACATGAGATACAATAATGAGGATAGACGTAAACACTATGCCTGTGTCAGTAACGACTCGTCTTCGGCGAGATTGGGCATCGACGCACGATAGTACAAGTTGAACCAGCTTGGGCCCATTGCGCTCTTGGTCTGTTCATGTCGTTCGGCCACCAACCGAACCGTTTCTTCCGCTGTGCTCACACAGATCTCCCGGCTCCGCTGCAGCATGCTTGTCCGTAGTCGACCCCCTTCCCACCCCTTTGTGGCGGGTATTGCAGTTGAAGATGGCATTGAGGACAGAGCGCTGAGGCCAGATACTAGTGACTGTCTGTGAATTAGGATGCACACCATGTTGGCTCGAAGCGCCAGAATGAGTGCTGTTTCGTTTCTTCGTAAGCCAGCTTCGCGAATCCGTAGCCTATTGGGGACCTCGGCTTGCCAGCTCTCGAATTCTTCGTCCAGCCTGACCAGATCTGCCAACGCTGGCTGATCACCTAGCACTGTTGTTGATTCAAGAATGCGGTATAATTTCGAGACCTGCAGGAAGAAGGACATGCTGGAGGTGGTTTGGACAGAGGGGAACAGCAGCCGATTTGGTCGAATGCAATCGTCGTCCAAGTCCTCAGGAAGGGGGGTTAAGAAGGTCGCCGTCGAGGTAGCAGCAGGCCGGCCGTATATCATGCTGAGCAACTTGTCGAGGCCAAAACATGCATACCATACACGCTTACGGACTTCCTGCTCTATGCAGTCGAACTGCTCAGGATCCGGCGGCCGGTGTAGCTCGAGGTCATAGGCAATGCGGATGGCAACGCCCAGCACCGTCCAACATTCGTCGCTGTAGCTGGAGCTTTGTAAATATCGCGCACCGAGAAGCAGGGCCTGGACCTTTTCAATTTTCCAGTCGGACAAGAGATTTGGCTGCATCAGCTGCATGGCTGTGTTGTAGTATTTGCGAGACGTGGTGTCGGAATCACCATGTCGTTGTCGACTGTGAGCCGCGGCCAGCGCACAAATCATGTTGAGGATGGCCAGAATGTACACATGATGGCTGTTTGCAGAGGAAACGCGAGTACTGAGAATTTGTTCGAATTCGGCCATGATGGAGGGAACGTGGAAGATGGGGGTTAGCTCATGGTGAAAGTCGAAGTAGACCTGGAGAAATTCTCGGGCATTGGCAGGCGGAGAAAAGAGGTTCTCGGAGCTCCGGACGTCAACGGAATAGTCTCGAGGGGATGAAAAGGACTGAGAATCGAGCTTGACGGATGGGTTATTCATGGCATTGAGTATCAACTGCGTAAAAGACTCGCCGGCTTTGCCGCTGAGAAAGATGTCTGGAGTTGTTGGAAGAATATTAGGACGCAGCTGCTGGTTGTGAGCAGATGACCACCCAGATGGTCGTGTAGGTCGCTGTATGGGCGCCATTCGCGTCGCCTCATGCTGGCTCGTCGACGGAACGGGAGAGACGGTCTGGACGGTAGGTTGAGATTGCGGCTGATTCTGGTGATACTTGTTCGCGTCCCGGTGAACATCTTCAAAGTTGCGTACGCGGCGTTCTAACGACCGGATATATCTGAGAGAAAGCATGAGTAAATAAATGCCATAAAAGATCGTTCGATAAAGAATGGAGTCTAGCCGTACACCTGGGCCGATTTTGTCATGCCACGAAGCATCTCATCAGACGCTTGCGCCGGAACAATGTGATCGCATTTTGTTTTGCGCTGGCGGCAACTGCGGCATGCCACCGTCGCTCGGCGACGTTTCCTGGGGCCTTCTTTGTGGTCAGAGGCAGAGCTGGTCTGCCCCGTAGATTGTGTAAGAGAAGGGCTATGACTTTCCATCTCATTGACGCTCATGCGTAATTCGAATCCTTGGTTCCTCAACAACTTTGCTGTGCATCTAGGAATGAGAGATGTTATGAATTCAGCCAGCTGTTGCAGACCCAAGTCCGTCTCCAACCTGTGTGCCAAGACTACCTGTAATACGCAGCTTCTCCTCGGCTACTGTGCTAGTTTGCAGTGCAAATGCGAACCCGTGCGAGCTGCCTAAGGTGACTCAAGAGAGAGTGTATTGGTCAGTGGCAAGCAAGCGCCTGAGATGGCGAGGGGTAATGGCTTACGGCCATACAGCGGCTTCATGCTTCGTCCTCTCTGGCACTAGCACATGCTACGTATTCCGAATCGCCAACCCCAGACCAGCCACCCCCAGCTGGATGGAATTATCGATCTGGGGTGCATATCCGGAGAAAAACGGGGTCGCATTCCCAGATGACACCTAATAACTTGAAGTTACGCGTGGGAAACGCCACCGCCACCCCTCGCGCTGAATTCGGCGTCGACAGGCTCAACTCGGGGAGAGTCTGCCCGACTCTGGTAAAGTAAATAGTTGTTCCGGGCGCCTCCATAAGCAGTGGAGCTTTGGAGCCTAACTTCGCTACTCATGTTGGATAGAGCTCTCCAAACTAGCAGTCCAGTGGTGTAATCGCAGCCAAAGCCACAGCGGGGAGATTACAAGGCCGGCCTCAGGTGATACAATGTCCCTCTTATTTACCACGAGCTCGACAACAAGCCAGGGCTTTAACGGTAGACCTCGGAGTTTAATACGACTACTTGATACTACTCTAACCTGAAAATACATGTAGCCAAACGCACAAAACAAAGTCTGGCCGCGCCTAATCGTACTTCTCAGTGACACTCTAGTCTTGCCCAACCAACACTGCACGCTCTGTCACCGAATTCATCTTACTCGGGTTAGTATCTCTGAATTGGACACTGGCTTCTTGATCCATTAGGCGCTGCCTCTTCGCTGCATATTCAGCCTCAATATCCCCAGTCCAGATCCACTGCATACGGTCCTTCAGGCTGTCTCGCACAAGCGGGAGACAGTCCTCATAGGCCTTTCCCTTCATTTCCGGCGTCTGCATTTCGTAGACTTGACCGGCTTGTCGAGCCGTTGCCTGAGCCTTTTGGGCGCGAGGAAGACGAACATCCTGATACAGCTGCATCCACTTCTCAAGTGGCTGCGTCTCTCTCTCTGAAGACGAAGACGTGGTCAGGTAGTCGGCTATGGCTCGACCCAAAATATAGCCATCTTCAATGGCTTGACCAGCGCCAGCTCCTAATGCATATTAGTAAATAGCGACGGGTTGCTGGAAACTACAAATCTTTGTATGTGCTCACCTTGATGTGGAAGCATCTAGAACGGAGAATACGTTAGCAGAGGTTCGAATCCACATTGTAAGTGTACTGTGAGCATACCGCATGCGCTGCGTCTCCCATCAAGACTATTTTGCCGTTCCCGTAAACCCATTGGTCGAGAAGCTCTCGGTCGTTCAGAATCCACTTGGACGGGTTCTCATTCATGAAAGAAATTGTTTTGCGGACGGTAGCGTCGAAAGATTCGAATTCCTTCTGAACCTCGCTTCGGTGGCCAGTGGCCGTCCAACTTTCCTTGGTGCGATCATCATCGGAGTAGACAAAGGCAACGATGTTGAGAATGGTGTTTCTGCTGATGGGAAACGCCAAAAAGTGTTTATCCGGACCCAGCCAGCTGATTGAGTATGATGGAAAGGGCCACCAGGACTCGAGATCTTTGATCGGGACAAGCCCTCGGTAGCACATGCGGCCGCTGTACCTGGGGTTGTCGGAGCGAAACTGGGAGCGGATATTGGAATGGATTCCGTCACACCCAACAACCAAATCCGCTGTGGCGGTGGTACCATCCGCGAAGCAGAGTTCCACGAAGTTCCCTTGGTCCTAAGAAAATGAATTAATCCATAATCCTGTATACTTGGTGTCGAGGAGCGCTATGGCATGTTACCTTGAGCTCGATGCACTTCTTGTTGATATGTAAAGTAGCTGCGTTGCGTTTCTTCACGTGGTCAAATAGGAGAGCCAAGAACTCTGCTCGATGGACGGGACTTTGTCTAATCTCCTGTCGGTCGTCAACTGGGACCGTAACAATCTCGCTCCCCGTGTCATAGCGGCGGAATGAGATCCAGATGCCATTGCGATGGCCAGAGATCTTGTTGAGGTCTTCCCCCACGCCAATGCGGTGAAGGAGCTTGGCTGCATTCACCCCTATGCCCAGGCCAGCGCCAATTTCCTTGTACTCCGGTGCTTGTTCGTACACATCTATCACCACACTGCCGTCCTTGGGGCAGTGGTGGTGGATCGACAGCGCAGCACAAAGGCCACCAATGCCACCACCCACGATGGCGATATGAAACGGGAGCTTTTGGCTCGGCATGTTCAACAGAAGAATAATTGTTTCGTAAAGTCGATCAGTATCGAAGCATGTTTTTTTTTCCTCTTTTGGTCTCAGGATTATTTATTTCTTGGCATCCTTGTCAGGAAGCATCATGCAGAAGTAGACAGATGATGTTATTGCTAGGAAGCTAGTGAATCTTTCACACCATCACACATAGTTGCCAACCCTCCCCCCTGTACGCTGACGGATCCATGCGGGTAAGCTGCTTAACTCCCCGGGCGATGTTTCTCCCCGCAGTCCCGTGCGGAGAAGTCCAAATAGGCTCGCTCCCGGAACTCGCCCGGACTGTCGCTTGAGTGATGGCTAAAAGGACTAACAAGGATCCCCAGAATCCCCATTCTTTTTCCGGGGACGTGGCCTTCTGATCAACTTACACAAACCAACGGCTCGCAGATGGCCTGGCGGTGCATGTGTCCAACAACCGCGCCTATTACAGCTTGAAGGGGTCAATGGAAACAGAACCTCTCTGTTCTGCTAGCCAGTGACGGAGTACGTCAAAATTGCGGCAGGTGTGCATCTGGATGGAGTCACTGTAGTAGTAGGAACTGTTCTCGTCCGGTCGATAGGGAATGGGAGTGAGATCGCCGTGGCATTGAACAGACTCTCGAAGAACGTCGATACAGTGGTCTAAATATCAGCACGGAGAACCGATTTGCTGTGTGGTTGATATCCATACCTGTATGAATGCGGAGAGGGGGCAGACGCTTTGGGTAGTAGAACTCTGCATCGATAACTTTCCTGAGATGGTTGATGCAATGCAGCAAATGGAATGTATCCAGTCTGCAGCCTGTTAGTTATGGCTTAACGCACCAATCACTGAGTCACTCACTGGACAAAGTCGAGGTAATCTTCAGCCTTATCACCAAATGCGTCCCGCTTTTCCTCAGCTGTTAAGTTGAACCACCTCTCTTCATGACTGTTAGTAAGGTATGAGCCACTTTCTCATCATCAATCGACCTCAGCATTCGTCACACGTACTTTCCAATATGTCATTCCATGCTTCGTCTATCTCATCGTACGAAGTACCGACATAGGGGCGAGTACTGGCGCCTCCTGTGATTCTGAACGAACCTTCGGACAATACGATGCCTCCGAATTGAACTTGACGATATCGAATAGCAGGGACAGCCGGCTCTGCAGCGTATGAGTAAGTGTTGTATAATGCAATGCATATGACGAGGGGTCATACTAAAATCAGTCTTCCATGATATAAATTGTGATTCACTGCCGCCATCACACCGGGAGTTTTGCTGCAAGCGAACTGAGAGAATTAAGCATATGGCCAACAAGACTGCAGAGCAAGCAGGCCAAAATATCGAACTGGCCGATTTGTGTGAAAGTGAATGTTCAATTCTTTCATCGCTTCGCAGTGGTTTATAAGACAGTTTAGACCAGGCAAACATACTGGAAAGAATGGAAAATAGCGACTTTGTATGAGAAGGGCTTTGCGGAGGTAAGAGGAATGTGCGGATGTACAGTGCATGTTCAAAAGTGAGCAACAAGGGAGGCCTCAGCAAGTTTCTAGTCTTTCCAAAGGCTGCAATCAAGATGCGAAGAGGGTTATTCACGCATGACACTACCAGTCCATTCTGCGGCACAATTTGCGAACAACATAGGAAGCTGCAGCGTGGTTGTCTGGTCAGCTTACCCAGCATGTGCATATCGGGATCTCGTTTGATCTTGTAACCTCATCCCCTATTCATGGAAAACCCATTTGATGAACGGCTCAAGCTTTACCCCGCGTGACAAGGATAATTCATCGCCGATTCAAGCCTTACTTGCATGTCTGCTGCGTTCATCCACACACCATCTAGTGAAGGCGTATTGTCACGGCACTTCCATGTGTCAAACTATCAAATGAATTGTTGTCTCAAAACTCGCCCAAGAAGAGCATAGTTAGGTATTGCAGGCAATATGAGATAATATTAGAAAGCTCATATAATATTGATAAAATTATCCAAGGAGATCATTGGTGGAATGGCTATATCTGAAAGGATAAATATGCTGGCAGAATTACTATCACATCAAGGGTATCGCTTTTGATGCCCTTGCGTAACTGAAACTTAAGCAGCATAAACTTATAAATAAGGCATGCCTTCTCGCCAATGGTGGAGCAGTCTATCAAACAGCAACTCAACATCCAGCTTTATCTTCTATCCCTCTTGGACAGGCCCGAAGCTCCTCGATTCCGACACTCTGAATCCACGCAACCACCAAAATGAAGAATTTTTAACACTTTGCATTGCATTAGTTCTGGCTTTAACTGCTGCTGCTGCTCCGGGCCAAACTGTTGAGCGTGACGGCAAGGTCTTCGACAAGCGCCAATGCGCCTGCGTTGCTGGCCAACAATGCTGTACCTCTGGAGATGCTACTCTGTGCTTCCCGGGATGCTAAGGTACTCTCCTTCAAGGAAGCTGCGTCAGGTTTCAAAGCTAACATGTCATAACTGCGCCAATAGGTCTTTCCAATAGTCTAGAGTAGGCGTCCTTTCACTAAGCTGGGGGAAAGGACACGCAGGCTCTTGTCTATAAGATTACAACAATACACGAATGATGTGTACTCTCACTTGATATAACGTGAATCTTATCGTGCTTTTTGTGTGAATGATTAGTGACTTCCGGATATAGCCGAAGGCACACCACTCTCTGAGAATACCGGGATGTTGCGTTCAAACGGATGTTATTCTCCCCCAAATCCTCACACATCAACTGGCTCTTCATTGCCATAAAATTGTACCTGGGATATCAGAAGAGCTAAGAATTGACCCATATTAAATCTGAAGATTGAAGCTCCATTAGCTTTGTGTGCAACAGTTTGGCAGGAGTCATTGTCGAGATGTGAGTGGTAGCTGAGCATGACAGTTTGGTGAAGTTTCACAAGTCATTGGCTATAATTTAAGGGGAATGATAGCGGCCGTATAAAAGTTATATCAGTTCAAATATAGTATTATAAAACTGAAAAACCCTGGAAAATAGTTTCTTGTCGTTAAAAGATGCCATTAAGATAGGTTGAGTTATGCTATACAGTGCGCATGAGTGGCCTCTTTGTCTTATTATCGCTACCTTTCAACCTCGCTGCACCCCGGCCGCTACCTAAGAAATGGTAAAGAACCTTCAAGCACCATTTTGATGTGCATGACCGTGATCCTTTTTGCTTTGTATCATCAGTTGGAGCTTGTAAATTGTTCGGCAGATGCAGTACGATTGGATTCATTAGCTTTTCGTACTGTCCTTGTATGGCGACAAGCAAGCTTCGGCAAAGCGCAGCAAGTTCACGGCAAAGCCGTGACTATAGACACCAAAAGACGGCAGACTGAGTCACAGGGGGAATAGAAAGCCATGAGTTGAGTCATGTGTAATATCTTACCATTTTGGATGTGCTAGTTTGAAGCATCAGCCAGTTGCTGAAGCTCCGCCGCGTATGCCTTGCGGTCGAGTTCGGAGTCGGGGTCGGAGTTGGAGTCGGTTTCGATATGACCTAACTACAAGGAGTGGAGAAGCGGCTTGGAGGAGGATGCAAATGCTACCTAGCCAGAGCAGCGGAATGTTTTAGAAATTGTATAAAACTCAGTCGACTTCCTGTTCCCTTGACTCTAGTTCTGGAGAGCTGTAACATGAACCAGTCCTCTCGATGGCCAAAATGACAGGCCCTTCCGACGTGATCCTAAAACTCAGCAAAAGCGTTATTCGTCGCTATCGCAATTCTGACGCGGAAGCTATAGTGGAGGCCGCAGATTCGCCCCAGGTCTCGGCATACATGATGGCAACTTTTCCAAGCCCCTACACGCTGCAAGATGCGGTCAACTGGATCGAGATCGCGGGTCAAGAAGGAAGTCTTTTTTTCGCCATATGCACTCCCGACAGCGATATCGTCATTGGTGGCTGTGGCTTTCAGCATCTCACAGGTGAACAATCGCGGACCAAGGTCCTTGGATATTGGTTGTCGCCCAAGTATTGGGGCCAAGGCATCATGACGGAAGTCATAGCGACTCTGAGTCACTGGGCATTTGAACAAGTTCCCACGCTTCTGAGAATAGAAGCAACGGTTTTTAAGGAAAATAGAAGGAGCATCAAGGTTCTGGAGAGAGCAGGATATCATCATGAGGGAATCAGACGCATGGCGGCGTTCAAAAACGGGCGAGCTTACAACACTGTAAGCCTAGGATTGATCCGCCATGAGGGGATCGGACTCGTGAAAGAGAAGACGGATGAGACTGCTTAGAAGAAATATCAAGAGCCGCGTCGCTGTTTATACTAGCCATCTAAACGTGTCTATGTCCCTCAAGTCATCCAGATAGACTGCTTCATCTTGGATCTGCTGATGCTTTGAGTTTGTCGCTGCATGGTGAGGCACGCAGGGAGATTGATTGAGGACCAGATTCAAGGCTTTCGCAATGATGCTTTTCGCCCTAGAGCAGCCATGG